TGAACAAAATCCATGTAATAACGGTTTCCATTTTATAGACTTTTTATTTGTCAAGTCTGCAACTGACACATGTTTAAGATCCAACGGCTCGGAATTCTTAAATGACCAAAACATTACACTCCCATCCATACAACCTGATATACAGATACTGTAGTGATCTGTAATTTTTAATTGGCCCAAACATGTGATCGGTCCAAAATGTTGATTTGGTTGATCTAAATAAAACAACAAACGACTAACAAGTACAGTAGCTTCATAAAACCTAATCATGATTAAATGTTTGTAATTTCTATGTTGTTAAGATAAGGTTTTGTGGAAATTCTAAGTTCCATAGGACGGACTGGCTTTAGTTAGCTAACCACTGAAATTAACCAAGTATTCGATCGCTAATGTCAGGTTTTCCAACTGTACAAACAGTCGGCATCTACAATCTGATTATCAAGTGAAGCGACGATGATTACACATGGTGGTGAGCGATATCACTCAAACAAAAACTACACACGTTATTCAATCCCAAATCACTAATCACAACAGTATGAAATGATTAACAAAGTACCAACTTATATAGGGAAACATTTCATATTGTGATGATAAAACTGAAAAAGATTGGCTTAAAAGTTTCTCTTTCCATCTTGTACATATACATTACTGAAATGAGATTGGATGTTGCTCCTTATCACTGAGCTCCTTTCACTAAAGCAATTCGATCATCATCAGTACAGACTTCTTTGCTAACCATTACTGTCATTCTGAAATGAATTAAACCAATATGTACAGTTTCTTGGTTTCTTTAATACACGAATGGGACACCTATTTTCTTTCAACTGTCATTACCATGTAGTCACAGTGACCCCAGCATTATCAGGTTGTATAAGTTAGGATGATTTAAGTGTTTTGGAACTGAATTATACACCTATTACAATTCACTATTTTCATTCCTTAATTTAACAAAAGTTTAGACGCCGTTTCTGGATAGAGTTCACACAATCGGAATCCATAAGGACGCTAACAATAAAAGTAACCAAATCAAGTAAATCACAGTTAATGAAACAATTCTTTTAAATCAGTAGGCCGAAACACGCTGAAGCACAATCGTGTAAAGATGAAGTGACCTTTGAAATAATTTATTTAAACAAAACTATGCCATGTTTTGATACAATAATAACTTGTTATAAGAGATTGAAGTCCATTATTAACACAATGTTTAGTCTCTTTAAAATCTGTGATTGTTTCATCTTAAAAGTAAATATTACAAGCACATAAAGCTGGTTTCATACTGAATCTGTTTTTAAATATTTTTAACAAAATAATATTTCATTTACACACAAATTTAATGACAAGTTGAGCTACGTACAAACGATATTATACATTCCTCTAGTAAAACAAACGCATCTTGCGAACTTGGATTTAAAACAAGTCACTGTAAAATTCTCAGTCAGATTAGTGAAGTGACTATCTAAAATCTTTACAACAAACATCTTTAATATTCATTTCCAACTGAGATCATGTGTTGCATATTCTAGCCATATTAATTAAGTCAACAAAGTTGAACAGTCGGCATTAGTGGAATGGTTTTACATAAAATTGAATCCCGTGTTTAACATAATAGCAAAGCAAAACGATCTGTTCATGGAGAAAAACGGAATATCCACAAATATTACACTCTGCAAGTAGCCTGAAGATGTAAATTTCAAAACAACTCAGCTGATCTCTTGTGCTGTAACAAGGAGAATAAATTAAGTAAATATGGATAAACTGACAGACTAATTGCTGATGGCTATGATCAAATTCCAGTCCCAATTATCAGATTGGTTTTTATCATATTCGACAAACGATACTCTGTGATGTGGCGTAATGTGACCGAGTAACTAAACACAATTTTGACTAGTGAGATAGAAAACCCTTGCTAGATCATTAGAAAAGCAAGGGTATCTATCTATCTACAAATTTATCATATGTTTACTGTAAGACTCGCAAACATTATATTGTAATGAGAGTGATTAGGTCTGACTGTGTTTGGACGACTGCCGAAAGCACCGTACACACCGATCAGATCAAAATACTATTCAATGCAACGTAATTCAATAAAACCGAAAACGATAATTAATGCTTACAATTCAATAGTTTCCTTTTCGAAGGTATACTCCAAAGACGAATATCACAACCGACATCACACACAGTTCGACCAGATGCACTGGCAACTATACAATCTTCATCACTATTAGTGGTACATCCAGAGGTCAGTGTACATGGAACAAGACCTGAGTGTCCTTTCAATGTACCACGATATTGTAGAATGAATGGTGCAAATACTCGATAACGAAAATCCTGAATAACTTGTGAGCAATCAGACGATTTATTGCATGATAATCTAACACCATATAATAAACGATACGTTGCATCATATGATGTATCTCGATAAACTATGTATCCTTTTTTACATGAATTCAACAAATGAAATTGTTCATCTTTCAGATAATCAGTAGCAATAAAATATGTTTTATTTCTCTCTTCAATATCAATATGTATTTTGTAACCACATTCATAAATTTTTTGATCTGAACCTGTTACATAACTATTGCTGTTTGACATGCAACATCCACTAAGTGAAGTAACTTCAGAATCCGGATCCTTCACTTCATCATCAGATTCAGTATGTTGATTATCAGGCTTGGATATCATCAATTTATCGATTGTTTCAATAGTTGGACTGCATAGTTTTCGTTCAACTAAAATTAACATAGATAATGTTGACAGTAAGAAGAAGTTGAGGAATTCGTTAAGTATGAAGTACAAAATAATAGATAGATCGTATTAATGTAACGTTCATAATTAGTCTAGAATTTGTTATGCTTGTTCTATGAGTCTTCATCATCTAACGTGCATGATAGAAGATTACAGGTGATCAGTTGTGACTTTAAATTATGAAAAAAACATGTACACAATTCTAATGACACTACTCGATTGTTCAAACCAAGAAAAGTAGAAGCGAAGCTAGAACCTGAGACTTAGTAGCTGAAAGTCTGACGACAGACAATGGTGATTAAAGAATCCACATATTACAACTATTTTCCATATAGAACAGACTGTAATACCATTGGACTGTGGAAAATTATAAAAAAATTAGTAGACGAGCAGCAAATCTTAAAAACACTTACATTTCAAGGAATCATAACCAACGTAGAACATGAAAAAGCTGGTCAAATAATATGATTCTTCCAAAGTGCTATTATTACTATTATTCTTTGACGGCATATCTGTGCAGACATTGAGACGGTGAGAGAATTGCAAAGCACCATGTTTATCATGCTTCCAGACGCTAACTTCACCATCATCCGAAGCAGCGAACAAATGATTCGACTTAGTATGTAGGGAAAAATAGTGAGACGGAATCAATATTTAGCATAAATATATGGAAGATATAACGATTAATTCAGTAAGTATGCTTTCGAAGCATCATATAGAACCGCCTCGAGAGATTTTAGCACTCAAGTGGAAGATACTGTTGAAAGGAAATAAGTCAATCCGATTGTTAACGTTTTGTAGATATTCACTTGTCAATTCTTCAAAATTAAATGGTAATTGTCAATGAGAACGGGTGGAATTAAGCTTAATAACAACGAAAATCAAGGCACTGTTTGCATTGCTTTATCTGAGATCCAAAAAGATTTTTAATTGGTAATCAATCATAGAAATGAGATTCAGGAGGTGCGTTAGCTAGATGCATCTGCATCCCAGGGTTGGTATTCACGCCAAGACTCAAACCCAGTATAGTTCGCCCCAGACTCTATCGCGTTATCCACTTACCTACCGAGTATACCTCTGGGGTGCAGGAACATACAGATGACCAGTCCAAAATTAGACGAAATGTGCATCCTGAATCTCATTGCTAGACATCATCCATTTCTGAACATGACGACCGATTTGGTTAGAAAACAATCATTTCGAACTCATAAGATTTTACGAAAATTAAAATTACTCCATTAGTCAAATCAGTTGAGCCAGGGATGCTGTATAAAGTTGACGAATGAAAAAGAGAAATATTTCCAGTTCAGTTATTTTAACTGGACTTACAACACGTTCCATAAATTTTATAGGAGATTTATTTGCATCAAATGTTTGTTTCAATTGGAACTTTTTATCAATTATTGCGTAATTATGCAGTAGACTATTACTATCACCAATATACACCGATACACTGATTGTGTCCACACCCAGGAACATACGTAATAAGTGGAAAGAAGTGATTGGAGCTGTTCCAACATCATTGATTAAATGCCATAAGGTTACAGTTCGTTCTAATGAATCGAATTTATACAACGCCAATTGCTGCAATAAAAAATACAGAGGTACATTATTTAATAAAGAAAACAGTAAAAGGCTGTAACAAAAGCCCTTACTTATTGAGAAATTTTGATGAAAACAATGAGACTTTTGGATAGTAGACTTGTATTTTGAGTGACTAGGCATGTGACATCTGAATGTAACTAGTAACTAATGATGGTATTTACAAGGAGACTCGGACGCATCAATTATTGTCCCTAAATTTATGGCGCTCACTCAATAACAAAAGTGGTGAGACTATGATTTATGGACAAACTAATCACACTCAGGAAAGCGGATTTTCGATTTTGACGTGAAATTCATTTACTTATTTGACTAAACACCATTTTGGCATTATATCTGATGTCAGTTCATGATTAAAACATTAAATCTACTTCATAACCCGAACGTTCAACTGTAAACCCTAATCATAGTTCTTCATACTAATATATAACCCTCATTTAACCCTAGTAAGTTATGATATACACAACAAGAGTTAACCGGTCCCAGTGCAAGGGTGATCACAAGAATAATCAAATATTATTGGAGTTGCTAAAATCTCTTCAGGAACAATAAACGCTTGCACATCCTTCTCTAATTCGATTTCCCGCATAACCTTTGACCGATTGTTTTTCATAACTTTTAGCTCCCTAAATTTCTATATGCTTGAAGCTCACATTTTCTACTTTAGTAACAACAGTTGCACCAATTCGTTCTGTGTTGCTTGTTCTACCTCGAATACCAAGTTCCTTGCAATCTGTCTTCCTCCCGTGTTGGCCATCGGGGTTTGATGTATTGTACGTAAACGGCCGTCGTTGATTCGAAAGGGAACCGATCGTATTAGAGAAGCAAAATCATTTTTCTTCCTAGATCCGCAAACATTGTAGGCCCGTACGAAACCCCAGGAACAAGATGCAACATCCAGTTAACAAGTGGGTTCCTTGAGTGCAACACTAGATATAGTTTATAACTATGAGTTGACTAGATGTTCAAATAGTGACGAGTAGTAAAATCCAGAATATCAAATATCCAGACATTTATTCAATAGAGATTCATCTAATTCTGACCTCTACAAGCTATAATAAAAATAGTAGAGAACATACTGAATTTTTTACCTAAACCATTCAATATAGTCAATTCATTACCAAACTTTGCAGTAATAGAACATACAATAAATCAGTTTTTCGACACACATTGGAAATAACACTCTTCAGATTAACGACAGACAATGTGTTTAATAAGAAAGATGAGTTATGTGTTGATAACATATTTACTGCAATTTGGTTTATTCAATGTTGTCATAAGAAGCTAATCATTTGTGATGAAAAATAAAACACAAAAAGTTATTTTGTAACTAACTAAACACAAACTTTCTGATTATTGTTCTCAATGAATAATAATCTCTTCAATAAACAAGTTATAATACGAATAGAAAACTGGATGAGGTTTCGTAACTAACATCCTTTGGCTTCCAGCGATTGTATACTACATAATGTTCCGATTATATAGGAACCATTTATATGATGCAGTGATTTATTGATGTTCATGTATCTGGCTAGATATATTGATAACGCTTGGTAAAATGGATTTGGCTTACATGTCTTTCCCACAATGCAACATTTCGCTTCCTTCGCTAAATCCCCCTGATTGCATCTCGAGATCAGTGAGTGTACAAAAATCCATTCTCGTATTTAACTTATTTGATTACGTTATGCACTAATGCAATTTAAGTTGATAATTATATACGGGAATAGTCAGGATGTATATTTCAACAGCAATCATTCAATAACGATCATTTGTTCAACCTAACTGGAAACAGATCCCAGGTCACAAAAACTTATAATCGATATATCTTAAAATTGAGACAAATTCCACGACCATTCCAAACAAGTGATGGAGAGGAGCCTAATAAATTGGTCAGTATGGAAGTAATCACTCCATACATCACTGATTAACGCATTATCGTTGGATCGGTGGTTATTCACCTGGACCATCACATTCGTAGACATTCTCGACGAGGAATCCAGGAAAGATGTTACTCGAACGGTCGAACTCTTTTTTCAGTGACAGAAAGTTCAGTCCATGAACCAGTTTCCTCGTGAGTTCAGAAATCCGATAATTTAAACAAATATATAACTTCGTTTGTCAGACAATAACACATATTTTAATGATTTGAACACTTCACCTAAATGGTTTCACTCAAATTTTATTTCCCAACAGAGAAGTCAGATTCTACTCCCATATTGCTAAGTAAACATGGATTACCGAAAAAAGTCAGACCAAACAATATTTTACACAGACATATGAAAGAAGAAATACAAACAGCCTTCGTTTGGGTTTTTTCCACCTAGGAAACCGACAAAAAGTAATATTTTATGGCGACCACTTATGATTTAATGTAAACTCAGAAACTATAAATGTCAGTGGAACACGTTCACTATTAGGAACTCATTAGTTGTAGACGTTGGAATTTTCAAAACAACCAGCTACAACTAAACTGAGTAAACGGTTTCCTAAAACATGAAACTTATTTTTCCTATGCTTTCAGTATAGATCAACAACTGGATAACATAGTTATTTAAGTATTATCAAACACAAGTACTGTCTTAGAAATCTCAGCCTTATCAAATAATAATGTAAACCACCATATGCATAGCTTACTCTGCTTTTAGAAGCTGTCGCAAAAAATTTGTTATCCATACTAACAGCGATTACTGCAGAATTGTGTTCTTTCAGGCAAACAGATTTCTTAATTTTACAACCAGTCCGTCGACCAATAAAATGAACCCATGTCTCAGCATTCCCACCTCCAGTAACAGCTACACAGAAGTCACTTGCAACACATAATGTCCCTCCATTTTCCGGCACTCCACCATTCACATTATGATTTAAACAATGTGACCATAAAGTATCAATGAGTTGGAAATGAAACTCTGACATGGCATTTGCCGACTGATACACATAACGATCTTTGTGTGGACTAACATTTGGTCTTAAAATGCATAGAAATATCTAAAAGAAAGTATAGTTCGAAAAGACGAATAAGCAATGCAAACTCGTTACATTTCAAGTCATAAATATGAGTGTAATGTATACAATCAACTTCAATAAATCACCAATTAATAAACAAAAGTATCAATTTTCATTTTGTAGATCACTTAAATTGCACAAAATTAAAAATCAACTACTATTCAGCTGATATTATAAAGAATGATCGAGTTTAAAAGAAATCCAGTCTACCAGTCAAGTTACCACAACTACTTAAAAACCACACAAATTCTCAGTGAGGTTATGCATCACTTGGGAAGTGTAACAGTCAAAGTGATTGGCATAACATGTAGAATAACGAATTTTTCACTCAGTTGCAACATAAAACCTCGTTTATTATTTGTTTATTTGAACACATAAATATTGGTACAAGAGGGCACCAAATATATGTGCGCCACACAAAACAATGAGAATTCGAAGAGAAAATAAGGTAAGGAGCGTAAAAAAGAACAATAATGACCAGATTAGTGTAACGTAGCGTAATAATACTAATAATGAGGGAAACGGGAAGGTTCAACCAGAAGAAATCATTCAGTTAAGGAAGAAACAACCATTCTTTTATGAAGAAAGCAAAAGGTTGCAGCAGGGGATCGCCACTGGCTTCTATTCTGAGTCATATCTGATAACGTCACTAGCCACTGTGACGCACCATCTCTAGCAACCCAACCAAGGAGTTGTGAAGAACCAACACAAGCCAGCCCTTTGCAGCTTTCTTTCACACCACAACACCATGTCATACACTAACCACCTCTCCACCTTCTCAAACCAGTCCCGGCGTCGGCAAATAATGCACGACGTGGGATCCTCTGAGACGACATTCGTAGAACATGTCCAAGCTACCGAAGTCGGTGTTTCAAGATGGTGACACCAATTGCATTATCGTCTCTGTGCCCGAACACACGATGCCGAACCCCTGAATTACTGACATGGTGTTGCCACTGAATGTCAGCAATCCTTCGGAGACAACGATGGTCAAACACAGAGAGTCGTCTAACATCCTCAACTCGAAGGGGCCAGGTTTCACAAGTATAGAGAAGAACTGCTCTCACAAAAGTGTTGTAGATCCGACCTTTTACAGCCAGACTGACATAACGAAGGCGCCAAAGATGACCCAGATTGACAGAAGCCGCTCTGGCTTTCACTATTCGTGCATTGATCTCATCACTCACACCCCCATCAGCACTTATGCAGCTACCTGGATACACGAACTTCTCGACTACTTCTATCTGCTCACCATCCACGGTGAGTACAGGATTAGAATCCTGCCAGTCTTGTAGAAGTGCTTTGCACTTCGAAGGAGCAAAGCACATACCATACCTACGAACATTGACTGCCAACTGATTAAGTGCAGATTGCATGCCTTGGGCATTATCGCACAGTAAGACAATATCGACAGTATACTCATGGTCGAGAAATCTTTCTCCAGACAAGAGATCCTCATCACCATTACTTATATCCATCAAACCGGTTTCCAGAATGTCATCGATGGCAAAGTTGGAGAGGAATGTTGAGATTAAGCAACCCTGTCTAACTTCACTGCTTGAATGAAACAATGGAGAAAGGTGGTTGTATGCCCTTACTCTGCCTGAGGTGTTTTTATATAGGGCTTTTAGGATGTTAATAAACTTCTCAGGCACACCCTTCTTCAACAGACAATCCTAGAGAGCAGTCCTGTCCGGTGAATCAAAGACAGCCCTGATGTCAAAAAACACTACGATTGTTGGCCTTTGATAAGTATGGCGGTGTTCTAACATTTGGCGGAGGGTGAAGATATGACCAATACATCCTCGACCAGAACGAAAACCAGCCTGCTCCTGGCCAGTCAATCTTTCTCGGGTTCTGAACAAACTATGAAGCATGACGGAAGCCAATAGCTTGGATGCAATCGGAAGTAGACTTATCACCCGATAGTTGTTACAGAAACGACGTGAACCCTTTTTAAAGATAGGGACAACTATCGACTCATTCCATGATGTTGGAACACTCTCTAGCTCCCAGACCTTTGTAAACAACGTCGTCAATTCCTTAGTCAGAAAGTCACCACCATCTTTAAAAAGAGCCGGAGGTAAGCCATCAGGGCCAGGTGATTTGTAATGCTTCAAGAGTTGGATTTCCTTGAGGACTTCCGCCTCATTTGGTGGATCAGTCGTCACCAGTCATGAAGGGCAGGACAGTCTGGCCGATGTTGCCGGAGCAGCAGGCCAGTTGAACTTACTTACTTACGCCTGTTACTCCTCGTGAAGGAGCATAGGCCGCTCACCAGCATTCTCCATCCAACCCTGTCCCAAGCAATCCTTTCTAGCTCCGTCCAGTTGTAATTCATCGTTTTCATATCTGCTTCTATTATCCGACGCAATGTGTTCCTTGGCCTTCCTCTTTTTCGCTTCCCTTCAGGATTCCACGTTAGGGCTTGTCTCGTGATGCAGTTTGATGATTTGCGTAATGTATGTCCTATCCATTTCCATCGTCTTTTCCTAATTTCTTCTTCAGCTGGAAGTTGGTTTGTTCTCTCCCACAGAAGGCTATTGCTGATGGTATCCGCCCAATGGATGTTGAGTATCTTGCGTAGACAGGTATTTATAAATACTTGTAATTTCTTGATTGTGGTTGTTGTAGTTCTCCAAGTTTCAGCTCCATACAGTAGAACTGCTTTGACGTTCGTATTGAAGATTCTCACTTTGATATTGGTTGAAAGTTGTTTTGAGTTCCATATGTTCTTCAATTGTAGGAATGCGACCCTTGCTTTGCCGATCCTCTCCTTTACGTCTGAGTCGGATCCTCCTTGTTCATCGATGATGCTTCCCAGGTATGTGAAGGACTCTACATCTTCCAGAGTTTCGCCATCAAGTGTGATTGGATTGCTGTTTTCCGCTTTGAATTTGAGGACCTTAGTTTTCCCTTTGTGTATGCTGAGGCCTACTGATGCAGAGACTGCTGCTACACTGGCTGTCTTCATCTGCATCTGTTCGTGTGTATGAGATAGGAGGGCTAGGTCATCTGCGAAGTCCAAATCGTCTAATTGGTTCTGAGCTGTCCATTGTATTCCGTGTTTTCCTTCAAATGTTGAGGTCTTCATAATCCAGTCGACCACCAGAAGAAAGAGGAAGGGAGAGAGTAAACAGCCTTGTCTGACTCCGGTCCTTACTTGGAATGCATCTGTCAGCTGTCCTCCATGCACTACTTTGCACTGTAGTCCGTCGTATGAGTTCCGGATAATATTGACAATCTTCTCAGGAACTCCGTAGTGTCGAAGAAGTTTCCATAATGTCCTCCTATCTACACTGTCGAATGACTTTTCATAATCAATGAAGTTGATGTATAGTGATGAGTTCCACTCAACTGATTGTTCGACGATGATCCGTAGTGTTACAATTTGGTCTGTGCACGACCGATCCTTACGGAATCCAGCTTGTTGATCTCGAAGTTGGGCGTCTACTGCATCCTTCATCCGGTTCAGCAACAATCTGTTGAAGACTTTCCCTGGTATTGACAGTAGTGTAATGCCTCTGTAGTTTTCACATTTGCTCAGATCTCCTTTCTTTGGAATCTTGACGAGGTGTCCTTCTTTCCAGTCCCTCGGCACTTGTTCCTCCTCCCAAATCTTTTTGAATAGAAGATAAAGCATGCTTGTGGTTGCTTCGATGTCTGATTTCAGTGCTTCAGCTGGTATGTTGTCGGGTCCCGCTGCTTTCCCGTTCTTGATTTGTCTGACGGCCATTCTAATTTCTTCCGTAGTTGGTGGATTGACATCTATAGGAAGATCTATGTGTGCTGCTTCGATGTTCGGTGGATTCATTGGAGCCGGCCTATTCAGGAGCTCTTCGAAGTATTCTACCCATCTGTTACGCTGTTGTTGAATTTCGGTGATTGGCTTGCCTTCTTTGTCTTTGACCGGCCTCTCTGGTTTACTGTATTTCCCTGATAGTTTCTTCGTTGTATCGTAAAGCTGTTTCATATTTCCTTCTCTAGCAGCTTTTTCTGCCGTCGTTGCTAGTTCTTCCACGTATTTCTTCTTGTCGGTTGAACTGCCCTTCGAAAAATTCTGCCCATCGCTTTTCGTCCTCTTATTTTCGTAAACAACACCCCCGCCACGAGAAGGCAGTGAGTAGGACTTCCCTGGCAGAGGCTGTATACGCGTGTCCGTATGCATGAACACCGATTAAAGTCGCCATTTTCGTGGGGTAAGGTGAGATGTGATGTTCTCAGGGTCGATCTATTTATTGTGAGATGGTATCGATGTTTGCAGACGCTAGCTACTGAAGAGGAACACTCTACTGCTGACACTCCTCTACAGCCAGAAGTACGACTTTGCCTTAGGACCTTCATGTTGGGGACGGTATATCCCCAAAATTCATATTTGTAATTTTATCATATCGATTAACTTATCGAATAAATATTTAAATATTTGAATGGAAGTCAAATGATGAACTTATCGATTAAATATTTGAATGCCTGTCGATTGATGAACTTAATGAGTCATGTTTAAAAAAACATTTTACTATGACAATATCGATTATATATATATATATATATATATATATATATATATATATATATATATATATATATACGTTTTAAATTGTGTTTGAGTGTTCGCTTGCTTGCTTGCTCCCTCGTTCTCTGGCCGTTTGCAGAATATATTTTCCATACCAAGCCTGGACTTCCCCTCCTAGATAGCGGGGCTGGGACGCATCAATAGTTAGATTACTGGTCTTTGGTCACTGAGTATTGTTCTCGTTCGCAGTTTAAGGGAACTCGTGAAGCTTCAAACCTAACACTTCATTTTTCGCTTTTAGTTTTACTGTGCTTCAATCGACCTGGTTGGCATGGTGTAACCTAAAGGAACGAGTGTTTCAGTCGATATACTTCGCCTGGATCAGCACAACAACCAGTCCCGACCACAAACATCAAGGTGGAAGCCACAGTCAGAGTTTTTAACAACACACTGATCAATATAAAGAACAATTATGATTCATTTATACATAGTAATCAACGAATTTTATACTCATTTGTACAACCTACTCGTACAGCGCCAGATGCATAACCAACAATAATATGATATGCATCAAATGCTGAAAAAGATCTTGCACAACTACTTGTAATACACTGGATAGACGAATTATCTTCTGTTGCTGCTTTCAAATAATGAATTAATCTACCGTCAAACACCCGAATAACAGTCAGATCGCCATTACTCCAACCTATTAAAACATGTTCGTAAGTAGGCAATATTGTCAAACAAGTTACACATATAGGATTTCCTGAACCTATTTGAGGTGGTTTTACATTAATCCATGGACCTATGGAAAAAACAAGATAAATAAAGTGAACGAAAATGGATAAGGCTCTTTTATGTTAATTACAACTGGTTGATAAATATGATAAAAAAATGTACAAATGTCTTCAATAAGAAGAAATCAAATCCACCATAGATTTGCAATTTAAAAATGAAGTAAAACTGTAACAAAGTAATAATTTATGTATTTTTAACAGACAGTGAAGCTGAGTGACTCGGGATCGAATCAATTGGAGAAAATCAATCCCCTCAAAGTTACAGATATTCCTTGCTAACCAGTGTCGAATAGCACGAAACCCAGGTTCATGATTTCCTGACGCCTACCTTCAACTTTCTAATATCTCGATGTAGTGCAAGCGATGTTTGGTCACTCAGACTAGTGGCAATACTGCAAACTAATCGATAGTATTCGATCGGCACTAGACAACTAAACCGTACAGGTCCTATAAGAATTCCTCCATAAGGCTTTTAGAGGTTAGGAAAGGACTGAAAATAATTTGTCCAATCAGCAAATATTTATTATTTATTATTATTAGAAGCTTTATTCAACATTATATTTTTGGTACAACATAGAATTCTCAGCATAAAGTATTTCAACAAGTTTCCTTTTCTTATATCTTGATTGATTGTGACAACAAATTTTGAATGATGATAAGTTAGATGTTAAGAGTTCGGCAATCCACATTTGATTAATGTTCATTCGTTTCCATGCATATTGCCAGCCACCATGATGTCGTTGATTGTACCTTTTTGTATCCCGTATTGAGAAAGGTTGTAAACTTTTCATAAACGCGCCTGAATAGATTGTGGGCACAATAGATATAATCATGTGTTAAAACAAACAACAAAACAGATAGCTTGAAGAAATATCTAGATCGGAGGAACAGGTAACCCAGATATTCAAGCAGGCCGCCAAATGTACTAAGAAAGCCTCTAAAATATTGAGGGATTGTGTCATACTCTAATTACAAGATTTCTTACTCTGTTTTCGGAGTTATTTAGAGGTCAGAAGTTACCAATAAACCTAGAAATATAGTTGTTTTCTGCACACTTATGAAGCTTAAATTAAAGCTTCTTTGTTTACTTCATAATCACTTCCTACAGTTCAGGGCTCAAGTGTAGGCATATTCTGTGGATCTAAGAAGCACCTTCGAAGTCATTATCAAGCATTCAAATGGCAGATCGATTATACACAAACATGAACAAACAATTGTAGGATTTTTATCATTTTCAATTCTGCATACTGATTGGTCTTCATTGATTAACTGGATTACATAATCAGAATCATACTGTCGAATCAATATTTACTAAACATATTTAACATGTTGACTGAATGAATTCAATGTGACCTGGCCAGATTCCACTAATAGCACGTTGAAAATACTGATTTCCTAATTCACAAACTTCATAATAGATAATACTTATGTATACACTGGATACATGTTAGTAGAACCACGAAATAATACACTATACTATATCATATGATGGTCACAATTTCCGATCTACTATTAGATAGACAACAGTTTATTATATTTTTTAGTCGAATTCACGAGTCAATTGAAGCTAGACCGCCATGGAAAATCTGGAAGCACTGGACGGCTGTTTCGCTCTAGTATGGGACTCCTCAGCATATTTAGGAAACAGTGAAATTAGAGCAAGATATACATTCCTATAACCGGATATTTCTGTCTTCGCTCGCCAATCAACCAACCACAGCTCAGATAATTATTACACACCAAATAGCAGTAAATTATGTGCGGAATGAAATAAATATTCAAGCTTGACAAATTCATTTATTTATTTTTAAAAGAGGTAAAAGTATTGCTATTCTAAGGTATAGAAAACTAAAGTCAACACTTACCAAAGGTTCCCCATAGTCCAGTATCCCATATATTAATGTAATTATTCAAAAATTGGCCACCACCTGACTGGAAAATGTACTGACCATTTGGTTTCGAAAAGCATATCTTCCCATATTGGTTTGGAATTAATTCATCAATTTGATCATATGGGAAATATTCAATTGTAAAACAAGAGTATTCTTGTATTAAACCACCTTGATACCAAAGTATGTTATCGTTCCACAGCATTAATACACCATCTTTATCAAACGTTGCTAATATATTCCCTCCATTTGGTGAGTAGGCGAGTGAACAGAGTGACGTTGATGCAGATAGCGACTATTAACAAAATCAAGAGACAAAAATATGAATAACTGATATAGAAATCTACCACTGTCAACGAATTACACACTCTGCATATTAGGAGTAGATAAAATACTCGATTGGTCAAATCAAAGTGGAGCATGCGGTGGACACCAGAATTAGTGGCTAAAAGTCGAACGCCTTCATCACTGAGCCACCACTCTGCAAACAACAACACAATGTAAGATTTGTTAACTTACCCTCACAATAGATAAGGAAGATAAATTGTAGAAATGTATTGTACCATCCCAACACCCAATAGCCAAATCATCATGTATTAGGTCTTCTTGTTCATTGATTAAAACAGATGGCAATCGGAATGCAATTGAAATAATCGGATAACTGGATACATTTATTGACTTAACTGGATGAAGCCTTACAGAACAGACACTTGTCGATAGATCACTGGATTTAACATCAATTTCTGAAACATCCCATAAGTAAACCATACAGTCTAAATCACCGGTAGCAACCAGTCGACGTCTAGGATGCCATGCAGAAGTAGTTACACATCGACGATGATATCCACATAACGACGCCAATTGTGAAATCACTGTTTTGTCATGCACTTTAGATTCAACATTGTGAATCACGGTAGACGCATCCCAGATATAAACATCACCATCTTCTGAGGCACTCATTAACCGAAGTTCTGAAATGAACTTTTCGGGAGATTTTATATTTTCAGGTTTACTGGGGAATCCGTCAAGGAAACATAAACTTTGAACGCTTGAACGGTGTCCAGTTAATGACCACAGTTCCTGAAATAAAGTAACAAAGAGACTTTTCAAATTAAGGAACTAATAATAACAAAAACGGACTGATCGTTAAGCCTCTTATTGGAATCAGAAAAAATGAGAGAATCTGTTCCATGTTAGAACAATAGAAATTTACAAGAGAACTCACACGCATAGTGGACAATTCTACGAAAGTAATCGTACCACACCTAGTTCCATACACCAATACTTTAGCAGTTGAATTCACTTCCACAGACGTTGGCACATCCATGGAACCATTTGAAGTCACAATTGGTTTATATGTCATATTCCTCTGCATAGGTTTAATCAATGTGCATTTTGGTGAATTTACACGGAAGAGTATTTGACTATTGTTCATGTCTAATTGCCTTTGTATACCAAAATCATTAAGATATAACAATGAGAGGCCTAACGTATGGATCCATTCACTGGAATCTTGGTTGATAGCTAATTCACAAAACGAATTTGGATATCTATCGAGTAAGCAAATAAAAGGCATCATTTTGGACAACAATAGTAATATTTATATGTAATAATAAGAATTATTTAACTTATGCATAACCCGTATATTTGTTTCAGTCTATATCGATATGAATTTGGGAATAGTTGAAAAATGTGCTTAGGAGAGAAAAGATTTCGGTCTGACTATCAGTGTAGCATTTTCAAAGTGACTGAAACCATAGAAACAACGCTGCCTATAGCTTGCTTGTTATAAGAGGTTGAGTGTACAGCTCTTCATAAAGTGTAGTTATAATTCACGTTCATTTGACGTTGTTACAACATGATGTTCAATTCCTTTTGTCACCAAATACTTGTTTGAAATCGGTGTTTACAGTAAACACATTCGATACTGAATATCAAAAACATAAACATTTACTAATCTAAAACTTGTGCATGCTCAAGGTTTACATAACTTTGAGCAATATCAATTTAAGAAGGAAGTGTTGTTTCCTAATTCGCAAAATTTAAAGTAACTACTGAATGGAGTAAATCATCAACCCGATTACATTCCAATCCGAATGTTCACGTTGTAATGCACTTGATAGGTGACACAAGATGATGTACTGTAAATACAGACATCCTAATTAACGAACAACCGCACTCTCCATACTAATTTATTTCAGAACATCTACTTTGAACAAGTAGTACAATAAACCCTGATACAATAACTGTGCGTCACAATTGTACACGAATATTTACATGGTTAATTAATGATATACATAAATATGAAACTTACTTTACTAAAAATTCATAGTTTAAACAAATAAACCTTTTCATCGCATCAATTTTGTCAATAAAAGGACATAATTCCAGTTTCCTTTTCCACTTTTCTTGTATACATCGATCAGTCGTAGCTGCGAAAACAAAATTAATTCGAACACAATTTAATTAGTAATGACTATAATAATTTATGAATAAAAACTGGATTTTAACGAAAACTTGGGTTGTCGTTGGATTCTAACCAATCGCTTTCTTTGGACAATCCATTCAAGTCGTTGATCATAGAACTGCCTGAAAAAGATGTTTTTATTTGTGAGTTGGCTAGAGTACACCCAAATTAAACCAGTGTCTAATAGTCGCACTTTTTCGTGAGACGTAAAAATTGCCATCAGTCAGCGACATAAACATACTTTGAAAGAAAATATTAGCATAATGAACATATTTTGATAAGTATGGCTAATTTGAATGCTTCATTCGGTTCCTAAGCTATTCTGGTAACCCGCAAGCTAGAACTACGCAGCGAGCTGAACACGATAGATAAAGCGCAAATTAAGCGAAAAGCACTTTACTCCGAAGGTTCATTTTTGTACAGAAAAACACGAGTATTTATAGATTTTTAGCATTTGTCAAATCAACATCATATTTTGGCTAATCCGCTAAGACACATATTATGCTACTGACCAATAGTAGCATACCACGTTAATATTCTAGAAGGCTCACTCATGCTCTGATTGGCTGAAACTCTTCGGCTTCTTTAGAGTCTATGGAAGCTCCGTTGTAGTTCTCCGAAGCCGACTCAACATATTTATTTGAAAAATCCGTAAAAGTATCCAAATTAGGAAAATCACACTTACGATATCCATTGAGAAATCTCATCAATGTTGACGGATATTCACTTAAGATTCTGCAAATAAACATGGGACTTGTGAGCAAATGACAAATAATATCCAATTCATCAGCATACAACTTGAAAAGAAAAACACAAAACATTACGAACAAGGCATAAAAAAGGAATCAGGAAGTGAACAACTACTGTTGTTTCAGCACAGTTTTTAACTTATCAACAATTAGTCGTCACAACATCCTATTCCAAACAGAATTCAATGTTTTCACATTTCATTCATCATACATTAATCTATCATGCTCAATACATACATCTACATACATTTAAGGAATCATTGATCCATTTCAATATCGGAACTTCCAAAACAATAAAACTATGGAGAAAAACATGTTCAGTGTTCAACCAACGTTTGCAAAGCTCTGATAAAGAGTCTCCATGATAGATGTCACATCGACAACAGTTAACTGACCATCAACGCTGTGTTTCTTAATGGTCTAGCACTCTATGAACATTGTGTAGACTCCAGAATTTCAGTCAACTATGTACTTTGTCATTACACTCAGCTAACTAAACTGTCAACTAGAAAGTCTGAAGTAGAAATTATAACATTCAATCTTTCATATGGGTTATAGATTATAGCAAAATATTACCCAAAACCAGTAAACTTATCACTAAGTTCTCTTGCAATTGGAAATTAACATTTGAAACAATTTTCAATAGAATTCAGAAAACAGTCGTGCATTCTACAGCATCAATGGTTTCCTGTTGATCTGAGAAATAAAATCGAAAGGTGAGTTGTTGATTTGTGAACTGCATTATCACCAATGATAAGTTATTCGGTGTGTAATAAATGTAATACCTTCATTGAATATTATGAATATGAATGACAGATTTGATTGTACAATACACATTCAGTCGTGTCACTAAAACTCTCCCTTCTTCAATCTTTTCAATTACGCTTCAAGTATTAGGTTTATGGCTAAATTTTCAGCTTAACTACCTCAAACATCAATCACATTTTTCTTCATAACACACATAGCACAAAGTAATTTGATGCTTGCCATCATCAACTGATCAACCTTAAACAACCAATGAAAAACTAAGAAGCATTGAACTGTTATTTCATTGCACTATGAAGCTCTTCAACAGTGAACATACACGGTGTGTGATTACAGCCAAAATCGACTTACAAAATGATATAGTTTATCATCCAAATCTGACAAAACAACAGCCAATATTTTGTGAATAGTAGCATTAAAAGTATACTCTGAGTACATATAATTTCCATGATTTTCAAAAAATTTATTGAATACTACTTCTTCAATCGAGTGACTTAGAAATGATAAATTCTCTGCACCTAAATTCCATAATTCAATTTTCCCATCCAATGTCATCTTTTCAGTTGAAATAACATTACTATTATTATTATTACTACCATTGGATGTGCTATTGAAACAGTGCAATGATTTATTGAAAATAATCATTAACGGACGTAATCTACTGAGAAGAATATGAAATGCAAGTGGAGTTAAATGTAATCGTTTTGATTTGTCTAAAGCACACAAATTGTTTGTACATTTTGACAGAATAAATCTGTCAATGTTACTTTCAAGTGTACATATAGATTCTAAATCATTCGGTTTATCCTGTATGACAGAGAGCATTTTCCATGGATTATTCTCCCAATTCATTTCATATTGTTCATTGATATTTTGTGTAGTAAAAAGCCATTCATTGAGTAGAATTAAAAGTTCTTTACTTGACAATGAGTGACGACAGAAGATTAAAAAACCCAGTGTTGCAGTAATCAAGTCATTTTTATATTCAACTTCAAGATTTTTAATGATCTCATCTATTAACTGATCAATTGTGCCAGATAACATTTTCAGATGAGATTTCACCTAAACAATCAAAATGAAAAAATAGATAATTTATAAGCAGAGATTTACAGACAAATGAAGTTAGAAAGATCACGATAGTTAAATTCCAGAGTGTATGGAAATATGTAGCAATCTATGGGTGAATACGTTCGATCAGTATCATACGGGTAATAACAATCATGTTTCCCATCAAATGAATTTAAAGTTTGAAGTTCGATCTTGACAAAAATTATTAGTTCCACTGAAGATGAATAATTGAAATTACATCGATAAAATGGAAATAGCTATTCAACAATTTTAAATGTAACAAGTAACATACTATCAAAAGCTAATTGAGCGATTACAGACAGTGAAAAGTAGTATATCCTCAAATGTATATAATGGAAACATTGATCCATGTCTTTGGACAACCTCACTAACAACAACAGTCTTTTGGAGCAGATTGTGAAGACTGTTGAAATTCATTAAGATCGTCGATCGATTTAAGTAACACTATCATTGAAAACCTCGAGGCATTGGACTGCCGTCTCGTCCTAATATAGGACTGCTCAGCGGACTCGAACTAAAGACCTTCAGTCTCACGCATGAACGATTAACCTTTAGACCATTGAGTCGGCATCCAACGGTGTTTATGGCTAACCTCAATCAATGCATGATATTGCGAAATCTGCTTCTAAAATTACCAACAACAGACCAACATCACTACCATGCTAAAAGGCTTAAGAGAAATCATGAAAATCGATCAAAGCAATTCCTCCACCTTGTTCAATCTCATTTTCACAAGGTGAGAATACAAGTAAACCATAACATTTCAAGCATTACTGAACATGAATAAGGGATAAGTGTTTCAACCTATTTAGACACTTGTCAGGTGGATGTACCTGCATCCTAGTGTTGATCGCTATATCGGACGATCAAAATTCAGTCCAAAACATCAACAACGGGATAATTCAAGTCCCTATTAAATCACGATTATATTAAAAATTCATGATAATGTACAAACCTCATCATGACTTCCACATAATTGTAGATATTTACAAACCATATTGAAATACGATGGATTATTTGACTCACAAGCTGAAATTAGTAAAGCGATCTAAAAAGTAGTGTAAAAGAAAGTATAAGATAGAGGATAAAAGCGGACTTTCAAATTTCTTCATAGGAAAATGAATATTTTATGATTTACATTTATATTACATGACTACCTTTTATCACATAACAATTATTCATTCATTTCAACCCACCTCATATTCCGATTGAGAATTAACACAAGATACTCCATTACTACGTAAATGAGATAATATAACAGCACGAGATTCTTCGGAAGTCAACTGAGGTATCTGATACACTGAACAAGTGTTTTTGTTATATTGACATGTTAATTTTTGTATGATTTCCGAATTAGAATGACATGTGAAAATAAACTGAACATTCTGATTAGAAAGAAACAGTGAACAAATAAAAGCATTGACAAAGTACTAGAAATTTCAATTCACTTTTTAAAAAACTATTTACTGTTATGATAGGTAGTGTATGAAATCTGATACTGATACAAGATGTGCTGTGCATTAAAGCCTGCCCCTCCCAATCGACTACTTGAGTGAGAACACAAGAGTGGACGAGAAAGTATATTGGCTACCGAATAAAATGCACAAATACTCATTCACATATATACATCTCTGCCCCTTAGAAAATCAACTCATCTCTTAGCCAATGATATCCATTCACCCTTCAGGTCATTTCAGATTGACATCAAGTGACCTTCGCACATGGCTACTTTTGACTGCCTCATCATATCACTAACAGATTAAATACTTAGATAATAAATAAATTGATAAATTTATACTCCAACGAGTCGTCGGATATTCCTCGACGATGTCTCTAGAGGCTCAGGAAACATTTTACCCTATCTGCGTTGAATAGGAGCTTCTCAGAGACATCTGGAAGTGAAGAGTCACGTGTCACGTTACCTATACTATATACAGCATATACTATATTTAGTGTGGTTCCAGGGATTCATAGACGCCCATAAGCGTGCGTAACTCTGCAAATACCATGGTTATTCTGTACATAAACTAAACTTGGAGTAAAGCGTTCCTTTTCGACCACGAGCCTTTTCTCACGTGCTCAAGTTGCCGTGTAGATCTAGCCTGGGGTTATTAGAAGCAGATAGGAAATCCGATCGAGCGTTCATTCAGCAGACTTACCAATATTGTGAAATAATTGTGTGTTCATTAGTGACTACTTTCAAGATGAACTACTAAATGCTGTAGTATGAAGTAGAGACTAATGAAACCAACCAAAACAAGAATAGGATAGCAGCTCAAGGATAAAATTCCATGAAGTTGAAAGTGTGAAACAGTTTATACTAGAACACAATAACTCAACAATATCATGTTCGCTGTAAAACCTAAGGACTATGATTCCGGAATTCAGTGTGCATGATGTTTTGGATGTGCGGAGTCAAATAGCTTTAAACTAGAACGTAACAAGCGTTTGTTATTCACAACCTACGTCACTCCATGATTGCATTTGCCAAAGTATGAAAAAATGTCGCTTCAATTTACGATGCAATACAATTCATCTATATAATGTTACCGGTGTGTTTTTGTGTTACATACGACTTTTATTCTTGAGAAATTACACCACTGTGTGACACATGATTACTAATTTATGAATTCCAACCAACAGAGTATGGCTGGTTCAACAAGAAATCAACTAATAAACAATCATACAAAATTTACTTCGACTTAACCAAATGGAATTTGAATTAGTCTTTTGAACCATTTTACCATCTTTCACGCTGACTATGACCACATATATTAAAATTATGCTTTTCAGTTTACGGTCAACATAAATAATGTTGCCATACCTCCCACAATTTTCACTAGCTGATATGACAACAAAACCATGTACAGTACCAATCCAATAACCTACATACTACCACCTTAGGTTAAATCATTCAGTCAAGTTTACTTGCTGATCGAAACGATTTTGAAACGTAACGTTGAATAATGTTGTTATTAATTGTTTCAAAAGAACACTTACTTTTGGTAAGACCGATGGTAGCCAGTCGTCTAATATCAACGGATCAAGATAGTCTACATCGTCAATTAGAAAAGCATAATTCAATCCAGGTATGCAACCCAAAAACCATATCATTTTATTAAAACAAAGCATTTTCAATCTACAACGAAAGAAACACACACACACACACATGAAACTACATTTTACAAAATAAGTAAGTAAACAGAAATTTAGTCATTTTTAGATTTTGTCATGACTGAAAGACTTTTGGATGAATAACTGAAGTTTCTATACAAAGCTTTAGAAAAGTGGATATCAACCATGTCGAGAACGAGACAAATATTGGTAATAGTGCTTTGTTAATCATCACGTTATTTCATAAGTACACTAAAGTAAAGATTGTGGATCAATCAATCCAGGACTAAGTGATCTGGAAGTGCATTCATCGCAACGAAACCTGAAACTACTGATCTCAGTTCAATGTAACGTATCGTGAATGTGAGCTGTCGAGGAGTCGTGAACCTCAGTGGAACATCTGTCCAAAGTTCTCTGGTTTTCAACGACTTCTCAGTTGACGTCAATCTGTGATGAACAATGTCTTCAACTTATTGCTCCTGGTTATATTTGAACACTTCAAAGAATAAACTGGTAACAGATAGATACTAGGTGGTAAGTTAGTAAGTGTATACCGATAAGGAGTCTAAAATTAGGTAAAAACATCTATCCAGTGCTCTTTCGCATTTCATGGTCCTCTCTATGTTATAATATCTAATAGATGTGTTGGTACCAATAGTCAGACAAGCATTTAGAAAGCTAATATCATCATGTTAAACACTATAGATAAGTGAAATAAAAAATTACTTCAGATTATGGTGATCGTTTGCTGTATTTGTGCTATCCAAATTAACTTTGATCTTCGTAAGAAACATTTTAAGAATATTTGATGAACTGAATAAACTCTGTAATTGGGCAGCTAGACATTTGATCCAATGATCAAGCACTTTAGACAATTGTTTACATGATGGTAAACCTGTACTCGGTATACCATTGGTAAAATGAATTAAAATTTGATACTTTGCCAATGATTGACTGTTTGACATTGATTTCCGTGTGATACTTGTTGATCGAGTATAATCTTTCGAGCTCATCAAAGTAGACTGATGATCACTTGTAGCCAACGACATTGCTAATGCAGCCAGATGAACAGTTTTTCCACTTCCAGGACTTCCAGTAATGACTAAAATCCCTCCATTTTCGTCTTAAACACGGAAACACACATATTAAAAAAGAACAGTTAACTTTTATACATATATACGCAAGGAAAGTAGAGTTACACTGAATAGAACTTAAACATTTCCCCGGCAAAGCATTTGTCTTACTGAACTAATTTCATTAAGGTGTACTTACACGATTCCACATAATGTTCACAACCCTCTATCATGAATCTAATTACTGAGAAGCTCAAGAAGTACCACTATGACGGTTTGCATATTTGTCGCCTCCTCTTTCTCCTCTGTCGTTTAGAGAATCTTGATATCTTTGCTATAAAATTCATGCATCAAATAAATTCAGAGATGAAAAGAGATTTCATATGAGCAAGACATGCTCACAAACCTTTACAGATGAATATATACAGCAGCTAATTACAGTATCAAGACTTCTTCTGCAGATTTTGTATATCCATAACTTAGGTGTTGCAATGTTGTACGTTTCTCTCTGAGAACTTTTAAGCCGTAATTAAACATATTTTATCGAATAAGACTATTATTATTATTATTATTATTATTATTATTATTATTATTATTATTATTATTATTATTATTATTATTATTATTTCATGTCAGTTGTCGCTCATCAGCAAAGCATGACAGGTAGGCCTAACCTCTGCCTACATCTACGAAAGATGTTTCCTGGTGTGCAAGTGGGTTACAAAATAAGGCGGTGAGCAAACTAAGACATGGAATATCAGTCTATAAAAAGTGGGTGACTGTTAGTCTGAACCAAGTCAGTAGATCCAAACTACTTGGTTGAAGTCAACGCAATAACCACGATCAGTGAGACTGCAGACATTGGGTGGCATGGCTCACGATGGTTCATAATGGAACAGAGGTATGTACTCTTTGTCCTCCTTCGGATTATTTGTTTTTAAATTATTTAGTCCCTTCCACTACTACTACCACAACCACCACCAATGATATTATTCCTGTTCTCCTCAATCCGATCTTCTCAACCTTCTGCTGCTAGGCATTCCACTTCTGATTGCTGTTACATATTACTTATGTTGACAGACATAAATAACATACACCGCAATACTACTACTACTGATAGTATTACTATTACTCTTCATAATTTCATATGATATATGATAACTTGGACCGCTGAACATATACTTCTGGTTCCAACTTATGTATGACTGACTAAACTAACAAAATGTTTAGGCAGGAAAAAAACATACAATACAAAAGGAATATGTAGTACTGAGACAGTCCAAAACGGAGAAGAATAATCTATAGTCAAAGGACCTGTATGAGATTATTTTATTTCGTTTTGAAGGGCAATTTTTAATCTGACGATAGTAGTGACGATATTCAATCGTCAACTAAGTCGAACTAGTGAAAGTTAGATTTGAATCTACAACCTGGTAGTTAAAAGATAACCAAGTAACTACTGTCTCAAACACCAATCGAACACCGTGAAGTAGAAGCTAAAATTGACTGATAGAAGCAACACATATTTGTTTTTATGTTAGAAGAAAGAAACAATCACCACACAAAAAATCATAATTGACTGATTATATTCTCTTTTGATCAATAGTAATTTCGATGTAAAAATCACATTCAATGATTTGAAAAAAAGCATAAAATGCTTCATATAAAACTAACAAACAAAGTCATGTGGCAACTATCAAAATAAATCAGTGCTACTGATGTCAAAATAGAACTTTATAAAAACACTAATAAATGATGAAGGGAAAATTTTGATTTTGATGTGTTCAAAGATTGAGATATTGACTAACTTGTATCACCCTTCAAATGGTCATGTGCGGGCATGTCCAACAATACGTTTGGCAAATGCATACTTTCTATGGATAATAAAACCTGATTCATAAGATCAAGTAAGGCTCGCAAATGAACATTTACGTCGATCCAATCAGTAGTTTAGCCTCGACAATGCATCAAAATGAAGCAAAGACTGAAAATGATTTGGAGCTCCATTTAATACAACGCTTTTCCGAGAGTTCTTCACAGTCTTTTCTTCGGGATTTCCGAAGCTGAACTATGAGCTCAGTGTTCATGAATAAAAATTAATTCGGGACAGTGACGGTACTTTAAGATTGCCTTTTTCATTTGAGGTTACTACCAATAAATATGAGGGGAGGAAAACCATTATCCAAAACTATGGGTCAGATTAAATTCAATTAATCATTATACGTGTTCCCTAAACATAATTTGTTTAGCACACGAGGATAAACAATGGATTACGTTTCTCTTCTTGTTCAATAACACCCGGCTCTGGAAGTTTGCATACTGACTGTTCCAGGTTGGATTTGTGTTTATAGACCATCTGAAACACCAAAAATACCATCAATTTTCTGCACAAACTTGGAGTAATGCGTTCTTTTCATACTTCGTGCCTTTTCACTCATCTTCATGTTGTCGTGCAGATCTAGTATGGGGTTATTAAAGAAGCTTAGGAAACTGACTCGAGCGTTCAGTCAGAGAACTTCTCAACATCATATCCCAATCAAATGTCACAGCCTGTTTTTCACATAATTTGAGTTAAAAAAAACCTCCGATTAAAACAACGAATTCCGGTTTAAGAAAAACACTAAATAACAAAGGTTACCAAAATTTAGTTACACTTAGTTAACAAACAAGATGAGAGTGAAGTAATTAGTTTCACATCTATCTACTTCGCATGTTGATCCACAGACACACACACAGAGAGAGAGAGAGAAAAATAAACTCTACATCAGTCATTTTGAAACTTTATAACAATAATTACAAATTTGATCATCTGAACGTGCACTAGAAACAAAACAACAAATGCAACTGATGAAACATGATTATTAGCAGAAAATTTTGTTAAGTTGTGAAAATGTTTACCGTGCGTTAATGCACAATAAACAAGGAAAAAACTAACAACTATTGCAATGGTAATAATAGACATTAAGATGATTATATGATTTCATTTCTAATTATAAGTGTTCAAGTGTATCGTGTATCTTGTAACATGAATACATGATCTTCATAAGGTTATACGTGTGCGAGCAATGTTGTGTCATAGAATGTATTGTTCAAAAAATTGTAAACACACCATTACATGTTTAAACGTGAATCAAATCAATTTTCATCATGGAAGCGAATATGAAAATAATTATAGACAAAGATTTGCTCTTAGTTCCAAATAATAATTTATATAGGTTAGAGTGTAGTTAGTTCATGCCTGTTACCACCACTGGTGGAACATAGGCGCAAACCAGCATTCTCCAATCGACTTTTCTTTGCTATAGTAGGGTATCATTGATGGTCTATGTCCAATGGATTCGGAGTACTTTGCATAAACAGTTGTTTACAAGTTACGAAGTTAAATTACTCACATTCACAGCATAAATCACACTCAATAAAGAAAAATTATGAAACAGTCTTTTAACACAAAGTTACTTTCATGTTATGACGAAGGATTGATTGAAGGGATTTGTAGGTTGTATTCATCACAGATTAATTTGTTTATCAGTGCGTACCCATGACCAAAACTCTCAGATTTCATACAGAACACTTGAGCATTATCAAGCACTCTCATACTACAGTGAAACAGTTATCCAGTGCACCCTGACTTCCAATGATACATTAAACGGGATCAATTTGTTACAAACACAACCTACATAATCTAACAAATATACATTCAGTAACTGATTCGTTTGCAACTTTTACATAATAAATATTCAACTAGACAATGCGATAGACTAGATAATAACAAACGCTGTCAAAATATTTTTATTTTCTAAAAACTAAACTAACTTTGATCATTTGAGGTTCTATCTTCAATTCTCACGTTCTTAGAAGTTGTATTTGAAGATTCATCAGATTTTCTATGTTGGCCAGTGAAATACGTCGGAACACATTTTCCAACCATTTTTTTAAAGGCATGTTGTATATTTAACAAATGTCGTGGTGATATATTACAAGCTATTGGATTTACATAAGTTGCGAAAAATTCTGAAATATCTATCAGTTCATCATTATCATCAGACGACGTAACCATTGGCGATTTAATAGCGTCATTTACCTATTAAAGTTTGCAGCAAGAAATTGATGAAACAATATATGATATGCATCGCTCAGTAAGGTAGTAGTCAGTTAGTGATTAAAACGATTTACAGAAGACATCTACAGAATGTTTTAAAATTAATAAAGATTAGTCAAAAAGAAGGCGGCAGCAACTGACCGGGAAATACATGAGGCAAGAACTAACTTGGAATATTGAAGGGAAAAAGAAAAGTGGAAGACCAAAGAACACACTGCCTCGAGAATTGGAAACAGACATCAAAAGGATGAAGAGCAACTGCAAAGGTTGACCAAGACAGAGTTCGATGGAGAATGCTGGTGGATGGCCTATGCTCCTCCACCAGCGGTAACAAGTGTAAGTAAATAAATGAGTAAGGACTGGATTTACCAATAAATGAAAGATATTTATCAGCATAATTCAAAAATGGTAGGATAGATAAGAGCTAACTTCTGATATCAAAGTACCTACATTATATGCACAAAAACGTCCATGTGTAATCACTTTTAGACGCAAAACAACAATTTATGACAGATATAAAGAGAGTGGAGAAATATGATCAGCGAGTAAGTGCCAAAAAACACACTTACAGGGCTGTAATATAATCTCTTAAGCGTTGATTCTAGTGTTGATATAAATTGATTTGCAAAGTTATCTAGATTTCCCATCATCGGACGGTCATCAATTACACCAATGAATCGAGCAGAATAACTGAAATTGCAACAAGAATTTATTTGATAATATTTCCAAACCAAAACACGCCTCATAGAAAGCAAACTATCAAATGGATTATAAAACAGATTGTTCATCATTGGAGTATGAGATATTCTATGTAACAGGTAGTACTATTTTTCATATCATTCTAATCTATTGTTCATTTGATAATTGGAAGTACTTGGTGAAATTGAACCAGGAAAGGTGTGCTATTCAATGAACAATCACACAGGTTCTTTAAGAAGCTTTAAAAAATTGTGCTATTGAAAAAACCCCATCTTCCGTTAAAACTTTAAAGAGTGACATTCATTACAATTCTATTCATAATAATGAAGGATGAAAAATGAGTTTCTATAGACTACCGTCAATGTGAGGGATATAAGCTTACACAGAGTGTTCACAATAACTGATAGAAATAGTCAGTGAGATCTATCAAGAATCTCCAGAAAACAGAATATTCGAAAATATCAAAGCATTACGATCAATTTATCTATTTTGAACAATGCGGTGTCAACGGGAGCTACACTAATTTCACAAGCCTAATCAGATGATCTACAAAGAGTATATTCCAGCAGAAAGTGATTGCCTGAAAAAAATGAGTTGAAACATATATTTTGAGCTATACCAAAAATAATCAAATAGCACACTGAATTAAACTAGAATACCTGAGGATAGAAACTCCATCATTCAGTAAGAGTTGTTTGAACGCATCGAGGTGTTGAAGATTGACTGGATCGTGATCACGAAATATTTGTCCATATTCATTCGGTATGTCACTAATGTTTTTTTAGTAAAAAGAATGCAATGTTAGATTTTGATAATAGTTCTGATGGCATAGACCCTTTAAAATCACCCTAACAGGATTAACCAAAACTGATTTTTCGATGCATTATGAATAATAGAGAAAGTAGGCTAACTATGTATATCAAAAGAAATGACAGAAAAGGATCAAAATTTCGTAGTTAACAAAGAGGGACAGTATAGATTTATTAGATACTCCAAGTGGTATTATATATACAACAAAAGAGGAAATACAACAGAATTTATAAAATGAGTGGATTTTTCAAAGGAAATAAACATTAAATTCTTATATTTCGATAGTTTTCACAATATCACACTGACAGAACAAGCATAGTGACTTACTACAACAACAAAACCAGTTCTCTTCAGAAACCTTTTCTTTATAAAGATCTTTCAAGGGGGACAACTTTTTACAAAAGTATGTAAGTAATGATAAATTACAACTGAAATATAGCCTTTTCAAGTAAACTCAATAGGTACGAGACACGTTTTCTGCACTCTAAGTAACATGTCAACAGACTAACATGGAAAATACAAATGAAAGATTTCCTAATCAGGTTTTACCACGAAACGTATTTTTCCATGATTCACTTTAGCTACGTTCTTAAAAATTGAAAGTAGATGTAGTGATATTTAAATCTACTTGAGAGGTATCGTGACAGTATTTTGCTGAAATATGTAAAAGAAACGAGTATATCACCATATCGAAAAGTCCTCACTCAAAAAATTGTGGTATGATCACAGCTTGCAATGAATTGTCACACGAAGTACACACATCAAGTGTTGTTAAGCAAATCTGTTTTATTTCTTTATTTTAATTCAGTTTCTCAAAAATCGTTTTGTAAGTAAAACTTGTTCTAGCTATCGACATTCTCCAATAGGATTGTAGCAAGCAAGCAATATACAGTCGCTGACAAATCTAAACTCTTCTGAGTACATTGGGTTAAGATGATAAATTTTTGCAATGCTTTTCACTTAACAATATGAAGTGAATTAATTGAGGAAGTCGATGAATTGACTTTCTTTGATAGTTTAACTAGTCTCAGAGGAACGATGGTCAACTGTAACACAGTTTTCCTCACTGAAAGACATCCCATTTCAAAGTAAATGATGTGTATGAAAGTAGGAAATACTCTACCATAGACAACCCTGAAGTATTGTATGCTGGCGCTAAAAATACATAGTGAAAAATGTTGATGTTAGCTGCAAAATAATTACTAAATGTGATTCATTTTGATTATTGTAGTTGTATGCTGAGTATTTTCAATCCAATATCAACGTCAAAAATGATTTTGACATATTTCTTTCAATCAAAAATATTCAGTTCACTAATCACGTGTACACATCTATGTCCTAACCCATAAGTCGAATTCATATTGTTAGAGTATAGACGGGATCCAATACAGAGGGTAAGCGCATCTGGAAACGTTCAATTAACAATCAACTATTTAGCGCAAAAGGCAATAACTTTACCAATGGTGATATTAATCTGTTAAGAACAATAATCTTATAACCAAAAGCTTTAATTACGATAAACAATCAATCTTCTGTCATTAAGAAATGGTGTTCGGAATCACAAATCTGGAGACTAACACTACAAAAGAATCTGACTCAATAATTCAGATTAAATGAATGGATTTAATTAAGAGAATATACTTTAAGTACAGCAATTTTCAATACACAACATTCACTCGACTGATCACAATTTGAGATGACAACCAACTAACTATGATGATGCATTTATAAATATAAAACAGATTCGGCAAAGTATCACAAATAACAATTGATAACGACACTTTTCGAAATAAGGAAACAAACCTTGTATTAAAATCTCGAATGAATACGAACACTGTAGAAGAAAACGTGTTGAAACTTGATCTGGACAATTTATTTACGGCAGCTAGTTTCACCATATGATATTCCATTTCTGTGACAGACATTCCAGGCTTGTAAAATTTATTGACTTCAGCTAGAAGTGAATCAGGCAATGCTCTAACTAACGATTCATCGGGAACCCAACCATATCTGTCGAAAAATTAAGAATGAATTAAACTAAACATTTTTTCAGTTGACAGATACTTAACACGCTGACAAATTCAATTACACTTTATCGTTTAAGCAATATAACAACAACTGTTGGCATCGTATAACTGCCTCATAGTACTTGTATTGCATGAAAACATTGGACTTTTGCTTAAACTACGAATTTGTTAAAATGTGAATAGTTCTAATTCGTACACTTCTTTATCACATTCAGATAGGATCTACTTTGATTTATTTTGAATTCGGTAATATTTATTCATTTAGAAGAAACTTTACCATATGAGATGTTGCATCACCTTACAATTTCTTTCAGTTACACTATCATTTACAATTTCATACGAAATCACTCATTCATTATTATTCGGTATATTTTTTAAGCCATTCAGTCAGTCAATTGCAATGTAGAACCTAATACGTATGTACATCGGTTCAAGTTGACAGACCGCATAAGCTCAACCAGATGAAAATGTCAAGGCTTATCCTAGAGTTGTAGAGGTAAAAGAAGAGATTAAGCAGTTTAAGTGAATATCTGGACACTTCACATAGTACACATAGATTAATGCCTTTTCTTTTAATCAATCTAATAGACAGCAATTGTCATACGGTCGAGTCTGTTTAAAAATAACCTCAACAATGCGTTGATCATCGAGATGTCATTCGTAAACACCTTTAGTAAGAACTGAATGTTTTAATTAAGAAAATTCCACAAGAGCCAAGATAAATGTGAAAACCATTTTCACTAATCAAATTTAGTTAGTAAATTATTAAAAACGTCTAGAAACCATCTTATCATGTTTGTTGAATCTGACTGTACAATCACTACATTTAATAACAATTCTAGCACCGTTTCTCGAAACCTCTGGTACCTCAAGGAAATTCGTAATCTTTTAAAATTCAATCCTTCTTTTTCATCTGTTTTCAGTCCCAGACTCAAATATGAGAATATGTAGGTCTGGGAAGTGTCAAGGAAGCCGGCATCTACAGCGTTCACTGTATCAAATATATCAACATTCACAAACAAAACTAAACTATCAAACAACCCCTACTGTATTCACTTGATATTTATTCTGGGCATAATTACCAGTAGGAATAACATAAATGCACGAACACGACTGTTATCGGTTCTTCTAGCAGTTTGATATTATCCTTTAGAACAGTGAATATTCAGATTATATGGAAAATATACGTTTCTAAAAATATATATATTTATATTATGATAAACAATTATATTTGCAGTAAGAAAGTGACTTCAATACACATACATAAGGGATACTCACTTATCACCCAATAACAGGATAAATATATCAGAGGCTGCTGCTTGTTTCAAATACATTTCCAAAGCTATGAGACTACAGGTGATTGATTCAGGAACACCAATACGTAGATCAACTAGATCAAGGCAAGTACTGCACGTTTGTGCAACATTTTGACACAAATTTGGCACTAAAGTATGGTAAATCAGATCATGTTCCGCATGCATGTCAATGTAAGATGATGATATATACACGCGGCAGAAACTGTCTCTAAATTAATACAAAGAACAAGATAATTTATACAAACAAACGATTAATAAAATATCATATATGATATGAAATTTTATTCAAATCATTGTGCTAAAGTTATTGTAACTGCTTAACTAAATTCTCACTGTTGAAACTTTGATGATAATTAAGGTGTACAGAGTTACATTATTTGCTCTTTATTAATGTCACTACTGTACTGTGATAATCTAAGTATCTATCCTTGTGCTAGCAGTTTCCATCTCGTGACAATCCAATTAAACTATACTTATTCATTTAGATCCTAACATGGCAAACAGATTGGTCGGAGAGTGCCAGGACTAAAAGCATCAAAATAACGATCCAAGGTGGAAGTCGTACCATCGAATGCATAGTATGATGGTAGTAAGGTGTTTCCCTCAAACAACCACAATATACATCGATACTACCTTTCCACAACGGGAAGAGGGCTTTGGAAAATTTCGGTCGTATAAATAGAACATCTCATCTTTTCCACAGATTTCCGCTATCGGTGGGAAAGGCCTAAGACCTACGGAGCCAAAACAACAAAAACTACTCAAAAAGTCCCGAAAATAACTGGTCTCAAACGGTTGTCTCTAGCATTCAACAGTCACACTTCTGAGTTGTCAATACCACTACTCTTAATCCAGTTTCCTTATCAGCTCCCTCAACAAGCATCCTTTCGCTGTGTGATTAATTGGAAAGTGACAAACCTTCTAATCCAAACAGGACTCGAAATCTTCTTGTTCAACGTCTAAACAGCAACGAGAACTTTGTAGTATAGAAAACATAACTATAAACTTCTAACCGTCTATTCAATCTCCTCTCTAAAATACTTGATTTCATATTCCATGTATAATTTCTGTGCTCATCAACACTTTATGGAGTAGCTAAAAGAAAGTGTAGCTAACACTTAATACATCTAGTTCAATAGTCTAACATGTCAGTAGCAATCTATCAATAGAGATCACGTTCAGAATTCTTCAAACATCAGAGTCAATGGACGTAAAAATTAAACAAACAAGATTGTTTGCATCAACACAACTGGATAGTGATATTTCAATTAACATTCTGTCAAATAGTCAATTAATTATTGGAACAGTGAAAATCAACACAACTTACTGAGATGATTTTATTTGAGAAAGTTTATTGTGACCTTGTTGTTCACTTGATAGGTTCATTTGAAGAGGGAGGTCAAACATGGAATTCAGTTTGTAAGTTTCATCAATTTTATCGATTTGTTCTACTAAACATTTGTCATCCGGTAACGATAAATATTTGAAAATATTATCTACTAATCCTTTCGATTCAATCCATCCCGTCATTGGGAATGAAGTGCACCTTTGGAAGATAAATCAATAAATAATGAACCTCAATTAAAGGGATGAAAATTATTTGCCATACACGTTGTATGAAATGTCTCGAAAACGACTAACCACATAAGTATGATGGAAAATTACAGTTGACACATTTTAGCGATCGAGTACAGACCAACATCCAACAACTTTGATTTCAAACTAAACCAACTGGATAGGGGTTCGAACCAATGACCTAATTGTTCACACTTGAATGTGTTAAAAATGTTAGGCATTCGATTTTCACCAGTTGGACCTAAATATTCTTATTCAAATTACACTGAGCTGGCTTTATAAAATGCAATGTCAATAAGATTAAGTTAAAAAAAAAGAAGGTATTTATACATGACCAGAGTGTAGATCGGAAAAATCAACACTAAATATACTAGCAATCATAACACCTCTACTTTAACTGATCGATAACTTTAATATATTTCGGTTTGGGATACAATATTTTGTTAGTATAGGACACTTGCAGTTTACATCATCGAGTGACTTCAGTTGGGCAACTCGGATTAGAAATGTTAAGCAGTGGATTTCAACTCAATAGTCATAGTGTTCGGATAGGTGACAACTTAAGGCTGGGTTCAGTTTGCAGGCGATTTACACTTTGCATTGTTGGGACTGACTGTACCTTAAACTATAAATGCAGATGTAATAAGCTCAGAATCGACCTTTATGGAACAGCAACTGAAACGATATTTGATTTTTTTTCTTCAGAATATTTAATCAACTATCTTTTATATCTAATTATCCGATTCAATGTGCAGAAACTCTTGGTTATGCCAACCGTAACAAATTGCCATCAGTGAAACGATCCCAATTTTAATCTTCTCTCTATATTAATTACTTAGATTTGCCAGACTGTGGAATAATTTGCTGCAATCTATTCGTGAAGTAAAGTTACTACTATCCTTCGTTCGTTGTATTGATGTTTACTTATCCTCTGGAAATACTTTATGTTTCCTTACACTTTTAGGTGTATCCTATTCCACTAGTAGGTTATAGGAACATTAAATGTTTGATTGTTATTGTTACTGAGACCACTCATTAGGCCTCCGTACCTCCAGATATTTTACACTTGTACCATCCGTGGTATACTTAACTCATTCAATTAATATATAATCCGAACAGTTGGTCATAAAACCACCAATGACAGCAAAGAAGACAACAAAGATCAGTTTCATGAGAGGTTGCAGTCGATCGTAGAGAAGTGTTTACGAAAGAGCCTGACCATCCTAATGGGAAATATAAAACTGGTCAATGACAAAGAAGGCAAACCAACCACTGAGACTCAATAACAGTGAACAGGTGGATAGAGCGCTCTGAAGAACTCCTAAACAGACCAGCCTCACCGAACATCGAAGTAGCACACACAGACCTTTAAATTCATGTCACCTCACCAACGATCGAAGAAATTAGGATGGCCATCAGACAAATCATGAGTGAGAAAGCAGAAAAAACCTAACAATATACCAGTCGAAGTACTAGAGTCAGACAAAGAAGCAACTGAAAACATGCTTCATGTTCTATTTAAGAGGGTAAACAAATGCCACCAACGGACTGGAAAGGAGCATATCCCGTCAAGATGCCAAAGAGAGGAGATCTGATCTGCAATCAACAAGCACATTGATATCGATCCAATTTATCAACCAATCAGAAAAATCATGCACAAATATAGGAGCAAAAGAGGAGATCTGAGCAAATGCGAAAACTATAGAAGTATCACACTACTATCGGTACCAGAAAATTTTTCAGTAGAGTGTTGGTGAACCGGATGAAAGATTCAGTAGACGTCCAACTTCAAGATCATCAGGTCGGATTCCGTAAGGATTGATTGTGCACAGACCAAGTCGCCACACTACGAATCATCGTCAAACAATCAATTGAATGGAACTCATCACCATACATCAACTTTCTTGACTGTGAGAAGGCGTTTGACAGTGTGGACAGGAGAACCATATAAAGGGCGGCCTGTTTGAGCATTTGGGCTACCTGTTCCTACCATCTAGATATTTCAACAAGTTATCTATTTTTGTTTGTTTTAATAAATCATTATGTCTATTTATCGCATAACCTATTCTGCTGCGTTTCTAAAAAGTGTACAATCTTTCGTTGTCAAGGTTACAAAAAACTCAATAAGAAACAATGTGGTTGCTGACAATATACAACGAAAAGAATGCACATTATTCAGATGTTCATTTAGTGAACTGCTAACATTTGACTGGCGATCGCTCAATATTTATCGCCAGGACCGACGAAGAAGAAAGAAACGGAAACTTGTTGAAATACTTTGCGCTGAGAATTCTATATTGTACCGAAAATATAATATTGAATAAAGCTGATAATAATAATAATTATTATAATTATAATTACAATTATTATTATTATTATCCAATTATTATTAGTAGTAGTACTAGTATTAGTATTAGTATTATTATAGAACCTTCTTCATCACTATGGTGTACCTGAGGAAATCGTCAACATCATCCGCAATTCATACGACAAGTCACATTGCAAAATGGTGCGTGGAGGACAGCTGATAGATGCATTCCAAGAGAAGACCGGAGTCAGACAAGGGTGCTTAATCTCTCCATTTCTCTTTCTTCTGGTGGCTGACTGGACTATGAAGAGCTAGACATCTGAGGAAAGCACGAAATACTTCGCAGATGACCTAGCTCTACTATATCATACACAGCAACAAATCCAGGTCAAGACAGCTAGCGTGACAACAGACTCTGCAGCAGTTTGCTTCAGCATTCACGAGAGAAAAAGGATGAATCCTAAAATATTACACAACGAGAACCAACCAAAATACACATGATGGACAATCTCTGGAAGAGATGGAAAGTTTTATGCCTCTCGCTAGCATCATTGATAAACAAGAAGGATCTGATGCAGATGGGAAGGCAAGGATTGGCAAAGTAAAGACAACATCCCAACAACTGAAAAACAACTGAAACTCAAAAGAAACTGTCAGCCAATAACGAAATCAGAATTATCAATACAAACGTCAAGATTGTTCTGGCTTACAGAGCTGAAACTTGGGGAGTTACTACAACCATCGTCAAAAAGTTACAAGTATTTGTAAACAGCTTTCTATGCAAGGCACTCTAGATTCACTGGACAGAGACCATCAGTAGTAACCTACTGTGTTATAGAACAGATCAACTGCCAGTTGAGAAGGAAATCAGGAAAGGAACCTGGAGATATGTAGGACACACTTACGGAAACCAATAAACGGTATCACAATGAAAGCAAAAACTTGCGATCCTCAAATCGAAAAGAAAAAAAGTAAACCAAAGAATACGTTGCACCGGGAATGGGGGGCAGACATGTAAAGAATGAATAGCACTTGTAAACAACTGGAAAAGTGCCCAGGATAGAGTAAGTTGCAGAATGCCTGTATGCACTCTATGTTCTACGACGGGTAACACGCCAAAGTAAGTAAGTATATAAGTTGAGACAAAAAGTCTCCGCATTTATGCCGAACTTGAATGAACTATAATTTTACTTAAGATACAGACCATTGATTACCGATTAACAGAAGAAAACTCAAATCAAAGTTCATTACTTCCTGTTGTTCACTGCAACTCATCTAACTGTAAAATCCACTTATCATAAATGAAACTATATAAACATACTAAAAATGTCTGTGTAGTGTTATTTCAATCTTACCATTTATCGTTCCCACTAAGATTGTTCCAAATAGCCTTGATAGGACCAATGTTTGCTCGGTAATTCACAACATAGTTTGCAATACTATCAGGGCAATCTCCAAATACAATGACCTTATCAAACTACAGACACAACGTCCATCCAGATGTTCGAGATCGAAAGAAGAAAATATTAAATAGATATGAAGTAGTGTTTTGGTTACCAAATGTTCCAATAACAATTGACCACATACAGTGAATTTTTCATAATATCATCCGTTTGACTTTTATTACTATTTTCAGAGTCTCGTAAAACCCGTTATAACCCTCTGCACCGAACGTGCCGAGAAACAGTATTTAACCAATGCTTATCTCACGATTTGGTTCCTTGAAATATAAGCTATCTATGGATAACCTCTGATACTCAAAAAGTGAACACACGGTACATTAATAACTGTGAATACAGTCCAAGTCATGTGTATCGATGGTTTGAATCTTCCCATTGATGTTTAGGACAGCAATCGATCAGTCTCTTCTGGCAAATGTGAGTCTTATCCAGATCGTATCGATATTGCCATTATAAGTCACAAGCACTTTTTAAGCACAGATGGATAGCAGCTAGCAATGGAATCCAACACCCGCCTTCTGTCCTATTTGAGGCGAATGGTATTGGGTTCGAGTCCTGAGGTGAACATCAACTCTGGGATGTATGTATATTCAGCTGATAAATCGAAAACAGGACAAAAAGTGAGTCCCATATTTCACTGCTAGCCACCATCCACCTCTGTTTAAAAAAGTCAAAGTCTTTTTTGAATGAGGCGCATATCCATTTAATTCACTACATCTGTACCTCCCATAATATTACAAAATATTAGTAATTTCCGGATGACTGAATGATCAATTACGAACATTTTCACTACTTATTCGATTTTCACAGCCCATGTTTTATTATTTTTCAATAAGCTGAGTATCATACTATGATAAACATTCAACTATTCATTGACATACAGGAATGATGTTGACAGAACAGATGGAATAGGTTCGTGAATATAGTCAAAAACTCATTTATTCATCATAAAACTATCACCTTGATTTATTTATCTAACCAAACAAAACAAGTGATGATTCGATAGAAATAACTGACCATATTTCACTTCATATTCTAACACTGAATTCAAAATACATCATAAACAAAATTTGTTAATCAGGTCAATGTTATGAACTCATCACATCTCAAATTAAAAGAAACTTTAGACTCACGGAATGAAATCGCTTCGCTTCCATATATAATAAATGGTTAGCATTAAATCAAATACATAGAAAATAGACTCAACATGACAAAAATATGAGCAAACATTCTAAGTTGTTGAAAAACCAACCTTTCTGCGAAATGCACTAAACCTATCCAGTGTTAATGATAAGGAGTAACTTTCCCACAACTGTGAAGGCAAAAAAAATAATTTAAAAGAGAACACTTTTAAGCGTCACTAGAAGTAAGGTTGATAGAAGTAGAAAGGTTAAGGAAATCGTAACGAAACATTGGCAGTGTAAACTCATCAACTACAGGTCCATATACTTTGTGAGCTATATTCATCGGCTGTTCAAGTTGAAGTAGATCAAGTGAGGTCACAACCCTGTGACTTAATAGATAAAATTTTAGCTCAAACAACTAAGACACCTTTCACTAACAAATACTATGCTTCAATACGTCTAGTTTAGCCCTTTCAGTCAAATATAAAGAGATTACAAACTATTCAGGCTACAAAACGAGACATAAAACCAGAATAACAGTGCACAGGTAAGACTACTTTCAAGACCATTTTCTATGCCAAAATCAATGAAATCTAGGAATTAGAGGATAACAACATCAACACAGATCTAGAATAAGTATCAGAGTTAATCCTTTACTCTGTACGGAAATGAACATAGGGACCTCAACTAAAGAATTTAACCGGTTGCTATTGCACAGGTGGTCCAGAATGTAATCAGTATCTCCTTGTTGTATGAAATACTTTCACCAGTCACCATATCACACTTCAACCAACCAATTAAAACCCATAGAGCATTTATTTTTAGAAGTGAGAATCAGCAAAATATGGTAAGTGGACTAGTATTCTTTGAGGCGTGAAACTGAACTGAAGTCACTGATAACACAGATATGTAAGAATTAGACATGAGCTAGTGATAGTTACATTGATAATATTTACTTTTTTCTATAAGCATTGTTCCCTCACAGTTTACTTAAAACCCCTACCAATGGTTGTTAGCTCAGACGAAGTTGGCAAGGCTTATTTGTGAGTTATGATTCATCTACAGAAATGATTTCAAGATACTGAATACCAGCTACTGACTAAAAGTAAAATATGCATCTACGAAAATTACATTGGTGTTCCAAAAATAAGTCTGCTCGATACTGATTTCATTATTTTGTTACTTTTAAAACGATTTACCTGGAACCACCAATAGACTGAAACCAAGGAGCAGTCCAATGCAACTTGGTAAGAAAAGGATTATAGTATTACATAAACAGTAACCAATTCACTCAAATATCTAAACGTGAGCGCCAAACTAACTAACCGTGGTGTATGGAGGGCAGGAGAGGCCAGGGAAAACTTGGTTGCAGATTCCTTATCGGCAGCCTGTGCTTCATGAGAGGCAACACGAGAAAGTAAATAAGTCATTAGTACTGACATAATTCAATCGATCATATTAACTCCATGGCTATTGACAGTTGAGTGACTTGAAATGATGTGTCACTTTTAGTGATGATTAGTTGGTGAAGAAACGGGGAATGAGGAGAATGATTAGTGTACATTAACAACCAATGAATGACAAAACGAGCAAACAACAACATTAAAGAATAAAATGCTCACTTTACGATTTTTGTAAATCAGTTTTATTTTATCCATTAATGGTGGGTTGGGTGATCGAAACAATGATGTGTCCTTTTTATTCTCCTCTGTGTGCCACAGTGAACTATATAATAGTAATAGCATTCTATTTATGGAAACGACATTGTAGTCGTTATCCACTACAAAATAAACGACTGCATTCTCACATATTGCATTGCATATTGCACCATAAATAAAGCTTAGCACATTTATCTAAATGAGAGAAAAAAGATTTTGTAGAAACAAACTCCCAAACAAAATTCAATTAATATTAAATGTCAAGATACTTATCAAAGCGAACAAAAATGAGAAACTAGATTATGCATTAACTACAAAGGAAAAACAATCCGATAATTTTTTGTTGGCACATTTGAACATACCATAGGATTAAGCACAAATATCTATCAGTATGCATGTGTGTATCACCATATTTCACATCATTATCGACAGTTGAAATCAAACAGAGTAAAAAGTATTGACGTTTGTGCAATCATTTCCACTCATTCAATGTTTATATACCAGTTTCTCTCTGTTTAGATGTGGAGTATATTTGTGTCACACCCTACGCTTTCCATCGTTAAAGGATGGAGAGCCATAACAAATGTGGTAAAATAATAATAATAACAATAAACAATATGTTAACTCATTCATCACGTACTTGGGAATGAGCCACACTATAAGTGTGGTGACTAATCATACCACTCGGTTTCCTAAGCCGGAGAACGTGAGGCGGGTTCACACCTGGAACTTGGCACGACTACAAGTGAAAATGCCACGTATCTAAAGTAACACAGATGAGGTCAAACACTAATCTTATGATCCAGTAATAGGTAAACTGATGCTTTGATAACTGTGTCAAATACTGTGCGCAAAAACGGGTATAATTTGTGGACAGTCGATAGCACACACAAATCATATCAATACCACCAAGATGAATATCCTTTTTCGCTTCTACGTTACATTTCACTGGTGGCTTTTCACTACTGTTGGTGTGATAATTTTCTGTTGCTTGACAATCATCTGATTAATTACATTTCGATGTGTTGACGCGAAATACTGCAACTTACGCCGACACACGTTCCTATCTGTCTATCTACCTATCTATTCCAACTAACTATAATAGATGTTGCAAAAGTAACAGCCAATACTAACCACTGAAAAATTATTATCATCCTTTAGAGATAGTCAATATGAACAATTAGAAGTCTTCCAGATATATCCACTAATGATACACAGAGTTAAAGGCAAAAGTTACTGATCTCTAGGATGAAACACAGTCGATGAATACTAAACAAACAAAACAGGATATTGTTAATGGTTAATAAAACACAATTATATGAACGAAGAATATTCTTCTCAATAATTTCTTATCAGCTTCTTTAATTATAAATCTAAATTAATAATCCATAAAATTGACCAGAATTAAAGCAGAGTATTCTTCACTCATATAATTGTGTTTAAATATAATGGGAATTCTACAGCAATGGTTAATCATCTTCAGATTTTTCAAGGAAATTAAAAACTGACTCTTACACTTTTCATTTAATACTAGGCTAATATATAATATGTTAATTCTTAAAGAAGGCGAGAAGAATGGTCAGTCCACTTACATCAAACCCTGAAAGTTATATTATTCAGTAATATTCAGAGATAACATATGTGCTTTACAACCAGGAAACTAAACAAGTCACACCATCAACATTAATTCAGTTATTTTCCTCTAGAAATTTCGAACGCCTAGGGATCCACAACAACTTTAGGTTTACCTATGAAGCTGTATCAGTTAGTCGATTCAATGGGCTTAACCTGTAACAGTTAGCTTTTGTCAATGAGATTGTAGACCACTAATATATTCGTCCGGAATAGATCAATCAGTCAGTCAGCATAATCAACGTACAATTCAGCCTGAATGATCATTATCCATCAATATATACCAGTAAGCTAGCAAAACTATCGGCAGTTTATTTCAAGTAAAATATAACAAGCTTCACTTCACAAACCAACTGAATACAAATAATCATACACAGAGGAAATAATCTCAACTTACGATAGCTTTCACTCTAGTAGATCTCCTAATTTTTTGAAGCTCAAATCCTGAGCATAAAGAACAAATAACCAAAACTGAACAACGTATAGGAGACAAATTGTAACGAGTTGACAAGCTCATAGCTTTAGTTAAAGCCAATAGGTATTTGTTCAATAGCCCCTTATTAATGTTCAAAGATCTGAAACCAAAATAAAAATGTATCAATTTGTGGTGGCTAATTGAATCTAAAGAATACCGAGTAGCAGATCAACGTACATCCAACAAACGATAATTAAAAGTCCTACATTACTAGGTATGCTAATCCAATCACTGTGTTTGATAAATTAGATATTTCGTTTAATCTATTGTCGACTGAACTAAAGTCTTATGATAAAGTGGACTTTATTGCAATATATCTTACAAATGATCCATACACTGCAGCCGACATAAGGAAAATATTCCATGAATCTAATCGATTCATTTATTAATAGTAAAAAAGCCATCGATCAGGAACCATGCTCAAGAAATATTTTGCACAGTGCAGGCAAAACTTATTAAAACCCTCCTCATAATAAAATCTAACCATATTATTAAATCTACTCAAAGTAATAACTTGGTGACAACGCTCTAGTCGTCAAGAATTGATTTCCTACCACGAGATTCACTTGTTGAATCAAATTACGCATGTAATGTATTCCTTTTTGACGAAGACGATAAGGAAACAAAGTGTTTCAGGTCTAACAAATTTCTGGTAAAGCATTTATCGACCATAAGTCTGATAGGTTTGTAAGGCCAGGATTATTTCCAGAAACATATTAACTTGTTTGATCTACTGATTAGGCAAAATGAGAACCACTTTCAATGGAATAATGCTTCTTTGTTTTCTGACAGGTAACATGTATGTTGAGTCTAGGTTTATGCCTCGGTTGGTAGTCATTTCGTTTGATTACCACCTCCCCCCATATTTCTTGAGTTTGTGTCCTCTAGGATATCCTCATTGTCCCAGTCAAACTTGTCATTCGCATACACAGAGATCATTGACCATATATTCTGATACACAAAATAAGTAGGGATAATAACTGAAACATGATCAACAATCAAACCGCTTACCTTACTCTAGACCTCCTGGATCTATATAGGTACTTCGATCGAATTTTGTTGCTTTCTTGTAAACGCATGTCTGAAACAACCACAGAGAAGTTAAATCCAGTTTATTAATCGTTATCTAATATCTATCTCATTCATACATAATATATTGGTCAGTGGTAAAATGTAGTTATTTGAAGTAAATTTCCGCATCATGGTACTGTACAGTTCTTGATGTCCGTGGATAACTACTCAACAACTACACACACACAGATCCATGTACTGCATCATGAAATACAGCCTCGTACGTAGTCTAGTGAGATCAAACCTTCAGTCACTATGCACACTTTGAACCCAAAGCAAGCACAAACATGGACAACTAAACGTGAAACTTAGAATAAGGACTTCAATGATTTGAATGAGTAATGGATAAATTATTTTTCCCCACGAATCTGTGACATGAAATCACATCTTAAGAAGGAGTAATTATACAACTTAATCAAATATTCATACCTGTTCATTAGAGATAGTTAATTATATTATACTGTAAATATGTGTTCAATCAGTAAGTTATTGAGTATTTGGTGTTAAATACTACTCAGTTCAATTCATACAAATCTGACTGCAAATACATTATAGAAGAAGTAGTATATTCAGATATCGTTTTCGTTCATTTTTGGTGTCAAATACAATCCTATCAACACTATTTCACGTTCTTATTTCGCGTTGTGGGAAACGCAGTGGTCACCAATTTAATGTATTTAACGGTGGAACTGGGAGCTTAACGAAACACTCACTAAAGTAACTAGCACCTCTATAGTGACGGTTGTATTGTTCTTAATACGGTCTTTTCTCTCTTTAAGTACCCGATGGCAATCGTATCTTTTGTAAATAAATATTAAATCGCTAGCCAATTAACTACTGATTGTTCAGTATTCAGCCTCATCCCAGAAAGAGTAGAGAAAATTAATGGCTCTTCAACAACATTCATTTATAAATAGTGAAAAAGGTTAAGTATACAACTGTTATACCTGTAAAACGTTGGTAGCAATGTCCAGTAACTGGTAGTAAGTAAGTGGTTAGGAAAAACATGCCACTGAAACTGTCATCAACTTATCGAAATTCACGACACACATTCAGCAGTCTACAGTTACGTCCGTGTAGTAATCTTAATCAATGAATAGAAATGCAGGGCGACATAGCTCAAAGTCGGCTACAGTGATGCAGATATAATCATTCTTTATTTTCCCATAAATCTTAGGCTCCCATAATATTCTGTACTTTTTATCCCCTTATTTTACTCTATTTTACCGAATCATATTCTCCGTGTTTAGTTTTAATGCCATTGTGACCATAATTGTTTCGGTACCATTACTTTTCATCTTGTCAATTTCCCCTAGCTAAGGCGGTATGTTATGATAACATGGGCTGACTCACAACTATGACATATCTAAAGTTGGTGATAGCCAACTCACTGAATAAGTGTAAACTCTGAATAAATAAATTACTGCTATTTAGTATGGAACTGAGTTAAAAGACTTGTTGGTAATGACAAGACCAGAATGTTTCATCCGATCACATAGTCATTATTACGTGTTCATCTCAGTCGTGAAATTGAACGTACAAACTGACTACCTATTATTTGTAAGGTAACCCGGACCAATATTTAAAAACTTCAGATACAATATGGCATAATTAATTATAAGAATTCATTTGATCTTTTTATTCTTCAAAACATTAAGATCATAATATTCTAGGCTTTCATGTATCAACTTTATTCATTACTTCTGACGCGCTTTTAGTGTATTCCACTACGGTTTTCACACAATTATTTTTGATTAATATCTATTTTCTCTAATGATAATTATGTAAACTGTGACAATATGAGCTGTTGTAAATATTTGTATCAAATAATACTCTCTTTACACTGGAGTCCTTGCTCAGTTGTCGGCTCGCTTTTACTCTTATTCTTATCAATTTCAGACCCTTCCATCCACACCGCTTTTCACACATAAACGCACACTCAGGAAACAATGTGAGTTCAGGTTATATGCGAACCCACCGAAAAATTTAAAAAACTGCTAGTTATATACATATATATGTACATATTGAATTTCTTATTTACCTTTTAAACGTTTACGATTTGCAGTCATAGACAGCATATCATGAAGTTTCTCAACGGTGATATACGCTGTAAGGTAAACAAATGGTAACTGTTTTCCTTCAATGACCAATTCCTGGAATTAAAAAGTATTCAATGTCTATTGACAGTTAGAAAACTTAACATGTAAATAAATTAGGAAGATATTTATTGTGAAAATAAAGCTCACAGCATACAATGGAAAGTCAGAATCATAGAGGCGTATACTTAGACTGTATTGATTAATATTTTTGGACTACAAAGGTTCATTGAAAAAGAAATCAATAAACAATTTAGTTCATTGAAGGACTTGAAAATGAACCAAACAAAATAGATTTTATATAGACTGACATCAGCTGGAAGACAAATGGAAATCAGGTAGCTTTGAACAATTGTTTCGATACCTCAGAAATACACATACGTGACACTGGAAATAAACCAACTTATTACCAGCACGATATTGAACATCAGTGAATTGAAGTCAAATGATCGACATTCGCAAGTAAACAAATTTTCACAAACCACTTAAATACCGAATACCTGTTTACCTGTCGGACGCAGTTTCTCAATCCATTTCTTTTCTAACCATTTACTTCAAGGTAACTAATAAACATCCGGTAATCTGAATTTGTTAAGTCATCCTAGAATATTTACACAACAGAAAACTATCACTTATAACGAGCTTGATAGACTCATAGTATATCTTTGAGACAAATAGTCTTCTGTAATATCAAGGTCTATGTCAAAGGTTTGTGTATGACCATGTAGAAGAAATTTAAGTCAGTCTAACAAGAACAAATTCATTAGTAAAGTCTAGCAAAGCGATTGTTAACAACGTAACTACATAGAATACTCATTCGTGACAGCCGATGTCGGCCACTCTCACTGAAAATTAATAAATATACACAGACAGAAACTTGTTTATTTCAACAGAATATGTTCAAAGATACACGTTAACACCTAGAAAAAGCAGGTATAAAACGGACACTACTTCTTATAAAAACTTAACATATATTTCTATCCAGGCACCTCAACGTTTCTAAACTACTGTCATGTCAAACTAATAACAACCAAATAAGTGTTAGAAACCAGAGAGCACAAGAAAACAGTATTAATCTCGGTTGAGATTCCCTAATAATTAGTCTCCATACCTTCAGAAAGAATTGAGACCATCAATTTTACATAAAATGACTAACATTCTAACTGCCAGCAACTACGTTACAACTTAAGGGTTAGTCAACACCACTTAAAGTCAATCAATTTGCAGTATAACGTGACTTTCATCAATGAACTTCCATTCTCATTTAAAACCACGTCGATTTCTCAGGTCGAAACTTTCCACTGGAACATAGAGATAATGATATTGAAGCACATTACTGGTGACCATTGGGTTACTGTCAACTATTTAAGTGGTGATGCAGAAAACATATCAACTCGAAAATATTTACATACCGATTTTTCGAAAATGAGTTATGAACTATACCCTCTTAATAATCATTCTAGCGATATATCTGCTTGAAACCATCATCAGTGCTAAAATTCTAGATTCACATAACTGAACGGCAAAACAATAAACCTCACAAACATCAAATCTTTAGAGGGTTAACACTTACCGCATCTGACAATCTCTGTAAAACAATATCATGTCCAGTTTGAGAAATGCGTGAGCATAGGATACTTTTTAGATTTCTCAGAATTAATTCATGACAAAGATCACCAGACACTAAGTAAAAGTTAATGAAAGAGGTGCTATGAAATAACTACTTTATTTCAAAATGAAGCGTTCAAACTCATATATTAACAACAGCATGATATCGAAGAATCATAAAACTCAATCAGCAATGAAACGGTAGGTGAATGAACACAGAAAAAATCAACTGGATTCAGCATTTTACAACAAAATACACTGTTTAAGGTAATAACATACTAGAATAACAATAATAAATCCAAGTCTATCGTGTACACAGTTGGTCACATTTCATCTAATCAACTTTACACGGTTACATAATTATTTCCATTCATTTTTCGAAGACCCATATGATTTTAAAGCCTTCCTCTAACTGATAAAAGCTTATAAAATTCATAACGTAGGAAATTTCATAACATTAAACAATGAGGGTAATGTAGGATGACAAGCATTAAGATTAGATGAGTTCTTCTGGATTTAAAACAGTAAGCGAAGCAATAATTGAAAGAATATTAATTACTATGGCTATAGTCACCATGAAGTTGTCGATTTTTGTTTTGATTCTTACTAAACAGTTGACCGGTTGAAACCATTTTGTTTCTTTCACAAAATTATCAGCTGATTTTAGATTACTAACTTCTATCGCCAACTACAATCCTTTTCCATGAATTATCAGGATATTTTCAAGTTTTACTTCATCAGTACCTCTATAAAGTGTGGACTCATTGACACAGTAAACTAATTAGCACAAAAATCATTATGTCTCTCCAAGAACGCAAGAAGACAAATAACAAAGATATTTCGTTTGAAGAAACGAATTAGGTTGAATAAAATAAGCCAACCAAAAGTGCACGACCTGGGATGGTCATATTTGTAATCTGAACTTCAACGAAAGTTAAATGACAAAAAATAGCACTGTATTCGAAACCAATTTAGCTCTCAAGCTTTTGTCACTGACATTTCTTAGTCACTCAGTCAAAATGTAGAACCTGGTACATCGGTCCAAGCTGTTGTTACACACAGAGATGGAATTATCAGGCCAAATTCCAGAATAGTAGAGGTAGTAACAGTGATGGTCGAAAAGATTAGGTATAGAAGATACGACTCGGAAAAATACGAATTAATTAAATAAAAGCCACGAGAAATTACGAGGAATTCAGAAACTCAGAATTGGGAGGAAGACAAAGAACGAATGCACCTGTGCCATTACAAACGATTTTGGGCCATATCATCCAAAGTCTCTAACCATTGTTTACGATAATCACACGGATCTCAACCAGGTAATCTACACTTATTAGCATTGCCCAGTTCAATTGACGATGATTTCATCGACTAATGTCTTCCCTTGGTTTAACCGCACCTACCTACTTTCCATCCCACTCCAACACCAGAAAACATCGCCCGTCGATGTAGATGGTGGATGTACATACGTAACACATATCACAAAAACCTCAGTTGAAGATTTACCACATCGTCAATCGATTTGTTATTCTCACCTAATACCCTATTCTTAAATCAGGCATTGTTTGCTCGGTGGTACCAAAATACACACTTCCCAGTTAGGAAGTAGATATCAACTAAAACCAGAAGAGTTCATTCTAATATGTTAAAGTATATATGTTAGAAGTTAATTGACACTTTTCATTGACCTATAATGTAGAAACATATTTCCTTTTGAAGGATATGGAAAGAAAACAGAATTATTACTCAGGATCTTGTTGACCTGAAAGCATAACTCCAGTGGATGGAATCTAACTACCTGATACATATCACGAACCACATTTCTGTGACTTTCAAGATCTTAGTTTTACGTTTTTCAGACTCGGTAGTCAATGCCAGAAATCCATATGGTAAAGGAGGGTGTTTTATTTTCATGGATGATTTTTCTAATCAGTCTTTCCACTCAGGAGAATAAAGCATCAATGAATACTGTGAATGTCCATAAAAAACAATGCACTGCCCCCACATCCTAGCACAGTCGGTAGGACAACTTCGAGTTGAGGCAACAAAGTTCCTGCTTTCAAGAATTCAGGAAACCAATGCTTTGGTCAAGATATCTGAATCAAATTGTCTGGATATGTAGTGTCGACTCATGGATTGACTACCAGACTTCAACAACAGATACTCAGATCTGGTTTTAAGCTACATACTGAAACTCAATGTTTGAATCTAACATTTATGAGTGGAACTAAAGTTTGTTGGCGAAACACTCAGATTTTAAATGGAGTTTTTTGGAATTAATGCGCGCTATCCACCTATTTGCATGACTTCATAGGTTTCATGCATCATAGTTGATGTCAATTCGTGTTCAAAACCATAACCCTGACTTGGTAAGCTGAGTCCCAATCTTAACCCCTAATCTAAATCCCTGACAGAAATTCCTAAACTTATTTTCAACTGGAATCACGGAAAATTGTCACTTTCCTTTAGTTCCATCCATTCATCTTCGGAAATGTATCTCAAATGTACGACTTTTCATCTAGTTAATTTATGTCACAGATTACTTAATAACCGCCCAAATTAAGACTGATTACCATCTTAATAAAATATACTAACTTAATAGGTAACCTGTATTATTTGGGAAGATTTACAAAGATTATGTAGAGCTTTAAACGAATTATAGAACATGGATTTGTTCATCAAGATTCGGTTCATCATGATATACATATGTCATATTGTGGTGTGTGCTACTGATGTCGACAGATAGAAGTAGTACATACCACCGATTGAAAGTGGAATGCCTGGAGGCAGAAAGTTGAGAAGTTTGAAGAGAATACATCGAGAGCAGAGACTGGTTGGTGTGGAAACGAAGAAACAACAGAGTCTGAGAAAATTGATTGACATATTGCGAATGAAGTATTTACTGTATAGTTCTCAGATTTCACCAAGATATTCTGTAATGTATTAAAATACATTCGTTTGTCCCCACTGGCGTTCCCGTTCACTACGATATAACGTCAAGAATAGATTATGTTTCACGTGCTTCCAATAATTTGATCAAGTTTAGACACAATGGTGATATTTTTGTAACTTTATCACATCCTGAATAGCCTATTCACTAAAATATTCGTATAACTGCTTGATTTTCTTACTCCTAAGAGTTTGGTCTAAACGGCACTCAACGTTATTTACAGTAAACAGTAAAAACAAGAAATCCAGCAATATACCTATTCACATCTGGAATACACATGTATATCTTCTGGTAGAACGAGGCGTAATTACATTAAAATCCATGCACGCAAGCAAAAGTATAAAAGTTCTATAATACCTTACCTAGTAAATATACTCTCTGACGAACAGGTTGTTAGAGTTAACCTAGTCAATAACCTGCATTCTTAACATGTTTCTAATTTGAAAAGTTGTACGGTTTTTCAGATTTTTTCAAAACCTTTTTTGTCTTTGTTTCTGTTTTTTGTGAAAAAAACTTCTTGAAATACCACGAGCTGAGAATTTCTATATTGTACCAAAATATAAAATTGAATAAAGCCACCAATAATAGTGATAATAATAATAATAACTCGAAGACTTATTCATAACTAGTGGCAAAACATACCGTAGACAACACATACATCTCCAGAGCAATCGATAGTACGAAAGAAAGCTGTGGTGCTAAATGGTTGGATCAAATACAAACAACTGCCAACTGAGAGTTGCAACTTTATTATCGGTCTCAACATCTCAGTTGTAATCAAAAACTGATGTTAGCTTCAGGAGTAAATGATAAAACACGGGATATAAATCCAATTATATGAAATAACACTCACTTATAATCTTTGTCCAAGCATCACGACTTTTGCCAGAAGCTAACTCTACTTTCCATTTAGGGTGAACGGGGAGTTTCATGCATACACCAGCTTTACTAGCATCCCAATCCCCTTCTAACCCCGTTTTTGAAAAGGCAGTGACATCATTGGGATACAATTTTCCAAGAATACACATGACGTTTAATGCAGGCTTCGATATGTGCAACTTACGAACGAGTTCTTTCAATGTAAAATGAATCGGAGAAGGATCCACTAGCCTTGATTGTAGAGTGTCTGTTACGGCATCCACTGCGGCATCACCTGCACCTCGTCCACTGACCTAATGGACTTAAAAACTGTAGGGTGAATTACCTTGCACCGATAAGAACAGGCACTACTCAGCCTTCGCTTGCATTGAGCTACAGAGTCGCTACATCAACATGATCTTACCTAACTGATTCTGATCAAATTCACAAAACTTTGAGACCATACACTTTCTTAGTGCTTTTGGCATTCCTCTAAGTCTCGGATCACCGCTCAACGACTTTGAGATACGTTAAAATATATCACAAGCCTACTGCATAGCACTCTGCAACTTCTATCCAATCGAAGGGTGTACAAATGCATGCATTAAAATACTTCTTTATGAAAACGCGGCACTGAGCATAAAAGCAAGCTATCGAAATTAACAAATTGGCTGTCTTTCGAATATTCAACAGTTTATGAAAATGAAGAGCGATCTAGAAACTATGGGTTAAGTAAACTGCAATACCTTGAGTATGAATTCAGGATCCTTCTCAACGCATTTGTCAATCAGTACACCCAACAGCTTTCTGTTTGTAGGATCAAATTCATCAACAAGTAATGTCAACAGCAAATCAACCAAATCACACTCAAGTTAAGGGGAAAAAATGTACGTAAATGATTAGTACCTTAAGAGCACAGTAGTCTGCTTCAGTAGTCACGATAGACAGATCAGGAACACCACTACCGTGTTGGAGTTCAACAGGCGAATCATATGGTTTATTCCCATCTTTACCAGCACACCAATATAAAGTCTTCAGAACATTCATCCGCCAACTAATTCAGTAGACCGACTGTAAAGCGATGCATACCCTTTTATTCAAATAAGTAGCCTTAACTACCATACCGACAGCCTTGACCGACCAATCAAAATTAAGGCAGACGAAGCTAAATATTGGCTCCAACTAAAAGCATCAGTGAGGATGATTGTGAAAACATAATTTCGATAATGTACGACTAAAATAACAGAAGTGAAGTTCAAACTTTTGATCAAGATCAGGATATCATGGATCTCAAGTGGTAGAAATCTAATATCCAACATCTCTCAGATATCACGAGGTTATATAGACCGTATGATTACTTCGCACTCGTTTCTTGTTGTTTCGTTACTCTGCCAGGTACTGGTTAATGCGCAGTAGGTGGTCGAGATCCAGGGAACAATCGATATTTTGAGATCTGATCTAGATTGAATGAGGTTAATATTTACAATGCCTGAGTAGACTTAAAGGTTATGTTTTTGATAAACCACAACCCTAAGACAACTGTGAAGCTCTTCGTGAGACTTTTCAAAAGATGTAATCTGGCTGTCAAGAGTGGCTGATAGTTTACAACGTCAGAAGTTTGGGTTGCTCATATCTCCGATCAACATTTTTGATGTTTTGTGATTTTTCATTGGTAATTACTAAAGCATGGAGTGACATGTTAGAAAATATGTTTTTCACTTGCTGTTCTCCGTAGTTCAAAGGCACAGGTGTGTTAAATGTGTCACTATTTACATCATGCGACACTGAGGTTGTAACCTTAGGGATCCTGATAAGGGAAGCTAGAATCTTTGGTCCTTTACAGAAACATTCGTGGCTATCTTTCAGTAATCCTAGTTAATATTCACTTATTGTTCGCTAAAGAGGTACATGCTGACTAGAGACGATTCAGAAGTACATTGCAATCTGAGAGTTCTAATTTGTACATTTTGATACCGAGGTGAGTCCAAACAAACAACATGCAGATTTATGAGGCAATCCGGAGGCAAAACCGGAAATATACACATTTCCACTATCATACTGGAGTAGTTAAGTGCTTCCAGGTATCCGTTCTGCGTCTTCACCTTGCTGGTAGACAACCATATATCTGACATTGATTAGCTCAGTCGAAGCTTTGCACTAGGATGAGACAAAGAATGAAAGTTAATAAATACTAACTTCCTCATATTTTTAGGGGCGAAAGGTCATGGTATTACATTGGTCGTGTCACAGTAAGTTAGAATACCGTCAATAGGCAGTGGTAACTGATTTCGTTTGAGACTAGAGTTTTTTGTTGTAAATACGTTTCGTAATTCTTGATCCTCGTCTTGTTTGTTTCGAAATTTATTCTAGAGTGTTGTATCACATTCATTTCTAGCCGAGATAACGCATCTGCCGTTTGATTTTCCTGAACTTTGACATGTCGGATATCACTTGTGAGTGTTTTGGTCAGTGGTTTGTGATCCATAAAAATTATGAAGTCCCTGCCTTCTAACATATGTCGGAAATGTTTAATGTTTAAGTAGATTGCAAGTTCTCTCCCGAAGGTGCTGGAACGAGTCCTTTTGAAAATAAAGCAGTTGGTTTCTAGGCGTTTTTGATCAGTTGGTTAAGAGTACAGCCTACTGCTTTATCTGAAGCATTTAACATCAAAGCAGGTGGGGAAGGAGAATTCGGATACATCATCGTGGATGCTTGAGCTTTCGCGATTTTAGTTTCGTTTAAGGCTTGAAGTGTTGCTGGGGATATTTCTGGACCTGGCTCAGTTTTGTTTTGAGGGATGCTACTGAGAGCAGCGTCAGCATCTACCAAGAAGTTCAAGTTGGACTCCCTGTTTCTAACATAAAACAAGCGCCAGCTTAGACGCCCTTTTTCAGTCATCGCGACCTGAGGAGGGGCTATTTATTTCCCATATTCTTGGGATTCTGTTTACGCCTCGTGCATGGTTACATGTACTTGGTTGAGTTGGCACCAAACTTCCAGCGAGATTATCAGAACTGCCCAGATTGTCTAGACATTTGTGACCTGTTTTGAGACTTGGGTCTTGGTCGTTGGGATGACCTGCTCCTGTTTCTATGATCGGTTTGCATTCTAGCGACAGCTTCAGTGAAACTTTTAGTGTCATCCCAAAGCCCGTGGTTTGTGAAATCCTCTCAAATCCACGTTACATGCAACAAACCGTGGGTCATATACAGTGTTGTAGTTGTATTAGGACCCAACAATACGATCTTCGAAGCCGTGTTCATAATTACTGAAAAGATTTGCATTTGACGTATAACACTTAGAGTGGAATATATTTTAGAATATTTTGTAGAGTGTGATTTTTTTGTTTATTTTAAGTGACTTTTATAATAAACGAATGAAACACCGCCGTGTCTGAATTGTTTTTTTGTGGTTAGCGTTTTTTTAGCGAGTTAGTTTTCTACGGGATTAGGTCGCTAACCCTTCATCCAGCCTTGGGATTGGCAGTAGTCCCAGAGTGGCTCCAGGAGGAGTTAAGAATGACACAAACTGAAAAAACTAGTGGTTTGTCATTTCAATTGATTTTTAAATATTTTCACGCGTTTGTTTTATTTTATCTATTGGGTTAGATCAAAATTTATCCAAGTGGTGAGCATATTACGAAATTGGTCACTTTCGATAAAGATCCTGTGAGGATTATGTGCTGCCTTCAGAATGGTCAGATTGATCTTTACACAATAGAACAGTAGTACTTGTCTTTCAATAATCTCTGTAACCATTACCTGTGATGACGTAATCTATCTTTTTATTCTCATTTTTCTTTATCATGTAACTTGTTTTGTTTAATGTTGTTAATTTAACCGATGAATAAACAAATTGAGAATAAAACCAACTCTTTTGTCAGTAATTACCTTCGAAAGAAATGTATTAGCATGGAGTGAGTTGATTCTCAGTTTTTTTCCGATCATAAGTCTTTCATCACAAACCGACTTAACATCTGCAGAAACTATTATTATGTTTCAAACTAACTTTGGACAACACTTTAGAACTAGGAAGTTAATCAAGAATATCTTCAACTTCAAGCATGACACTTGTTCGCTTTAGCAAACGTGAATTCAGTGTAACGTGTAATCAGCACATATTCTATGGGTTTTCTCATTAAATTTCAAAGGCGTTGCCACAGGAGTAACCGATTGTGAAGATTGACTGCCAGATGTATTCTTTTCTTACATGAATCATTCAATGACTTGTACACTAATTCTCAAAATCGACAAGGGATTATTCATCTCTTATGAAATACTGGATCACTCTCTCCACTAAACGTAGCACAGGCAGCTATCACAGTTTTGAGTAAAGCATCAGGTTTTTCTTTGGAAGCTAATAACGACAGTTACACTTTAGGCCTTTTCAAATCTACTGTTGACTATTATGTTTCATTTACGTACATCTCTCAAGACACGTATGAAGATCTGTCATCTATAATAAATAATTCACGGCATCCTTGTGTATGCAATTTATAACCATTAATTGCTAATACTGAGAATTCAGTAGATCATATTGCAACATTAGAATTTAAAAGTCTCTTGCTTTTGAATGAATAATGGACTCCAAACTATCTATATCCAGCTGTTCAGGAACTCATTCTGTTACATCATTGGTGTAATCGGTTATAATGGAATTCGATGCGCCGACTAGTAACACTCAAAAATGTCTCTACGGTGTTCCAGCCAGATTGGTTGGTAAAGCATATTTTGTGGAGACCTACGGACCCTTCTGGAATGAGTTCCATGCTTCCAAGGCTCACGAACTAACCTCATGGATGTGAAATTCGGAGAACCGTGACCCCTCAGGTCTTTGCGTGCGTGTAGGTATCGTATCAAGAAGAGAAAGTGAAGGAGTTCTGATGTTTTTACTTACAGTGGATAGGTAGAGTCTACTTGCATACTATGCAACACACAGACATTCATCTCAGTATTCCTTGAAGTACATACAGGTATACATACTCTGTGAGCAAATATGCGTTCCATTCACACTGGTAACACACAGGTTTTATCCTATATATCCCATAGCGTACATATAGGTATATTCACCCAAATGAGAGGTTGAATGCTCACCACCCCTTTAGAAATGTATTTGCTACACAGACTGTTTCTTATACAATACATGCATATCATTCCGCTCATGGCTAAACACACATAAGCATAAGCATTCTCTCGCAGCAGGTTGTTATTCACCTCTTCTTCGTATGTGCTACCATATCTTTTATTATGTCTTCGACCTAATAGATTAGGGCTCTGATTTTATTAAACATAGGGCAGACAATGTTTTAGTTAACGTCTCCATTGTACGACACCACACATATAGCCTTTGTATATACCTACATGCATGAACTGCATAAGCTCGAGGACTTCTGCAATTCTTGTACATAAGCGCACACATCAGGTAACCCGGTGCTGCTATGTGAGTTCAGAGTTAATCAAGAATACAAGAGAGCGGATAATTGGTCAAATCTCTGCCGACAGCCTAAGTTTCCTGGCAAGGTTATCCCTACCATTCAGCAGCACCGCGAAGAGGCATTACTTCAGATTCTGTTGTCATACGTACTCTAAGAGTGCCATATTTATCAGTATCAAAATTAAGGGAAAAACAGCAAACACAACTAGGTGTATTGTATTCGGAATTCAAACCACCAGACAATGAAAGAAAATATCAGTTTGTGCAGACAACACATTTTCATTTGGTCTAACAGATTTCGGATTTCATCCACTGCAATTTACTTGGTGTGGGATGTATATGTGCTTTATGGTAATCCCGTTGAAGATCCCACAGGTATTCAGAGTTTTACAACGCTCTAACCAGTGATACTTAATATGAATCGTACCCACCAAGTGGAATCAAAAGACAGAAGCGAAGAGGTTCGAAGATATATTTGATAAATTATGAATATATCGGAGATTATCTGATCTAATCTGGCTAGCGATTGCAGTAGATGCTGAGCACGGCGTTCTCTTTCGTGATCTGGTGCGGATGCATGACTGAGCGCCTTCAGCTAGGTGAGTCCATGTGAT